GGAATAAGAAAGCTATGGGGAGGTGGTCCAGATGAGAGGGAGTGTGGATGTGGACCAGAGCTGTGAGTGTGTGGATGGAAATTATGGAATGGGTTGAAGAGATATGATCTTAGTGGCTGATGGGATGTGGAGGGGAGGGAAGGTGACCCCAGGGTGGAAGGTGAGGTCATTTATCAGAGGCGAGCTCAGCCAGCTTGCGGGGGGGGGGGGGGGGGCATGAGTTTGGCAAGACACTCAAGTAGAATGACTGAGATATGGTTGGATGTTTAGATGGATCTGGAAATTTGGTAGTCATTAGCAATTGAGTGGTAATTTATTCTATATGAATGACTAATAAGATATTTCAGGAAAAGCATATGAAGTACAATAGAAGGAAACCTAGGGACCACCACAGTGCTAGTGGTGGATGGAGGACAACAAGTCAATCAGAGTGAAGAGGCAGAGTGAGAGACCAGGAAAGGAAAACCACAGAAGCCAAGGGCAGGGCGAGCAGCAGGGCAGCAGGGAGGAAGTGATGAACTGCCATATGCCTCTATATCCATCTCTCAAATGCAGCTATGTTCTTCCTTGCTCTGGAAACAAGCACACTTCCTGTCCTCTCCAACCTGGCTGTTTTTTGTTAAATGGTACAACCGAGACTGACAGCACCATAAAGATTTATAATTGAACGCAGACCTGCCTGGACTGGCTGAAAAGGCCCACTGGAAGCCTGGTGCAGGAAGAGTCATTGCAAAGTAGTGCTGAAGCACAAAAGGGGTCTGAGGAGGGATTTGGAGTGCAGATATTCTGTTCCCACCCTCTCAGGAATCTGTGTCGGAGCTTGGGTAGTGATAACTGTAATAAAAAGAAGACAAAGTTAGGGCTTCCCTGGTGGTGCAGCGGTTGGGAGTCTGCCTGCCAATGCAGGGAACGCGGGTTCATGCCCCGGTCCAGGAGGATCCCACATGCCGCCGAGCGGCTGGGCCCGTGAGCCATGGCCGTTGGGCCTGCACGTCCAGAGCCTGTGCTCCGCAACGGGAGAGGCCACAACAGTGAGAGGCCTGCATACCGCAAAAAAAAAAAAAAAAAAAGTTATTACCCGTTTGCCAAATCTCAGCATAGACGGGGGAGGGGCATTCTCCCCTGGGCAGCACAGGACAGAGTTGTAACTTGAGGCTGGGGTGGTCTCCCTGGTGGCCACGGCTGGGGGCGGCGGCGGGGGGGGGGGGGGCACCTGTGTATGCCCACTCACAGGGCCCTGCTGCAGTTCAGAGCACGGCACAGAACCCACCTGCACCCTCCACCTAAAAGTCAACATTTGGCTTCCAGACACGTTGTAGGCTGACATCTGCTGTGCTGCTGTCATTGCCCACGGTCAGCGTAAACAAGGTGCCGGACCATCAGTTCTGGCCAGTGCTGTTCTGCTTCCAGAATCCTGTGGGAGCATGGAGTGTGCTAAAGTTTCCATCTCTCCTGTCACTTCTCCCCCTGCCAGTGCCTGTGCTGCTTCGTGCTCGTGGGAATGAAAAATCTTTTGGGTTGACATACACCCCTATTTCACTTTCATTTCTATTTTCCTTCCTGTTCTCAAATACTGGATTTTATCCACTGTAAATTTAATTACTTTCTACTTTTGGAAAGGGCCTTTGAGAGGAAGGTACATTTAAAAGTGTAAAGGTAATCAATACCTGTGAGGCAGCTCTGCCCTCCCTCTGGGCAACCCTCATGAGCATGTAGGGCAGGTCAGGCGCCCTGAGCTGTCCCCTTCCAGGGAACCTTTTGCTTCTGGACTAGGGTTTCATACACTGCAGAGCAGCACCTGCACTACAACTTCATGAAAAGTCAACTCTTCATAGAGGCTTGTAAGGGAAGAGTTTGTCCATCTGCAAGTAGAGAGTTTCACAAGGGCTTGCTCGAAGGTGCTGGTCCTGGAAGGGCCCACGCCCAGAGCACAACAGGATGTCCAGACCTGAGGCCAGGCCCTTCTACTGGCCCAGGCTCCTGGCACTCCCCAGGCCAGAAAAGACGGCAATGCCAGAAGCTCTGCCATGTGACTAAGGGGTGGCCCTGTGCCCGAAGGTCCACCTTGTGACAGCAGCATAGGAACACATCAGGCTGAGGAGGATCTTGCAAGAAAACTTCAAAACTGGTTCCAACTTGCTATTTGCTGTTTCAGGAAGGGGCTCAGGGGAATGGAACCCGGCACTGTGGACACGGTGTGGGGGGGGGGGGTCCCTCAACTGAAAATGGAGTTACCACGTCGTCCAGTAGTCCCACTCCTGGGCGTGTACCTGGAGAAAATGCTAATTCAAAAGGCCACATGCACCCTAGTGTTCCCAGCAGCACTATTCACAATAGCCAGGGCATGGAGGCAACCCAAGTGTCCATCGACAGAGGGGTGGATAAGGACGATGTGGCACATGTATACACAAAGGAATACTACTCAGCCATAAAAAGGAACGCACTAATGCCATCTGCAGCAACACGGAGGGACCTAGAGGTTGTCATACTGACTGAAGTCAGTCAGAGAAAGACAAGTATATCACTTATGTGTGGAATATACAATGATACAAATGAACCTATTTACAAAACAGAAACAGACTCACAGACATAGAAAACTCATGGTTATCATAGGGCAAGGGGGGAGAGGGATAAATTAGGAGTTTGGGATTAACATATACACATTACTATATATAAAATAAACAAGGTCTTACTGTATGCCACAGCGAACTATATTCAGTAACTTGTAAAAATGTATAATGGAAAAGAATCTGTGTACATATATATGACTGAACCACTGTGCTGCACACCAGAAACACACACAACATTGTGACTCAACTATACATCAATAAAAAATTTTTAAAAAGAGGGAAGACCCGTTAGAACAGCCTGTAAAGAAGTTACAAAGGTAACGGCCCTTTGAACAGCTGATCATTTTTGTCCTCAGCAAAATTACAAATGGGGAAAACTCCAACCACCAGCCCCCCTTACCTTCTTCCAATCAGAACCTCCACAGTCACTGCCCCTAGAACCAAGCAGCCAGGTTGAACCAAGTCACCCACTAACAGGCTGGAATGGAAACCCAGGATGGCATCGAGGAGGGGCAGGGGGAAGTGCACGGTGACGGTGGCCAGCGTCCTGAAACGTCTCCCCTTGCTTATATCTTTAAAGGAGCAACATTCGGGCTGGCTTAGAGGAGGGAGCCGTGCTGACCGTAGCAAACACTACAACATGTGCCTTATGCCAAAAATAATTCCCGATGAATTGTTCTAAATGTAAAACAAACCATGTAAGTACTAGAAATAATAAGAACAGGTGAATATTTTTTAAGTAACCTCAGTATCAGCAAAGGCAGGAACCATAAATGGAATTAAACCAAGCACGTGCAAGGTGCCAAGTGCGGTGCTGTCCCTCAGCGAGGGCACAGCATGACACCCTCTCATGGACAAGGATGGGGGGCCAGCTGTGTCACCTCCAGTGGGGAAGCCAGGACTCAATTTCACAACAAACAGCAAAAAGAAAAAGGTGTATATCACCACATAAGATTTTTTCACTTCTGTAGACCCCCTACCTACCATCAACAAAACGAAAAGACAGCTGACAAGTAGGTTTAAAAAGACCACAAAATGTGACAGAGGAGTGAACAGACTGTGTATTAAAAACACTTAGTCATATGAAAAAGATGTACACTCGAAGTCACAAAAGTAGAAGCACAAATATAAGTATAAAAGATGTCCAGTTTCAGAGTAATCAAAGGAATGGAAGTGAAACAAGGTGCCGTCCCCAGCTCCGATGAGAAAGGGAAAGGCAGGTGGTGCTCCAGGTGGTAGTTTATGGGAGTACTCTGGTAGTATTAAAAGTTCAAAAATTTCAGAACATTGAAATTATCCTTTAGTTGTACATTTCTACTGCTAGGAATTTATCCAAGGGAGATCCCTGGGCACGCGTGCCGAGCACAAGATGCAACGTAATGAAGAATCAGACCATTCACGGAGTGACATTTCAGCAAGTCACACAACGGATGGCCAGGCAACCCACAGAGTTGACACCACCCACACTTACGGACGTGGGAGGGTATGAGCAGCGGCTAACACTCAGGAACGTTTGATGCCAATCATCTCACACTGCCCACTGTGTCCACACTTAGCACGCAGATCTCACGAGTGGTTCCTTCTCTCTCCTGCTGGAGGCATAAGGGGATTTTTCTCTGATACTCACTGTGGGTCATGGTCGATGATCTGGAGAGCACAATGACCCTGGATTAAAATTTCCGCAGTTCCTGGGACAAGATGGCAGAGTAGAAGGACCTTGAGCTCACCTCCTCTCGTGAGCACACCAAAATCACAACTAACTGCTGAACAGCCATCAATAAGAAAAGATAAGAACCTACCAAAAAAGATATTCTGTAACCAAAGACATAAAGAAGGAACCACAACGAGACAGTAAGGAGGGCACACTCGCAGTACAGTCAAATCCCATACCCCTGGGAGGGGGTGGGTGACCCCCAAACTGGAGAGTAATTATATGGCAGAGGTTCTCCCACAGGAGTGAGAGTTCTGAGCCCCATGTCAGGCTCCCCAGCCTGGGGGTCTGTCTTTGAGAAGAGGAGCTCCCAGAGCATTTGGCTTTGAAGGCTTAACTGCAGCATCTCCACAGGGCTGGGGGAGACAGGAACTTCACTCTTACAGGGTGTACGCAAAATCTGATGTGCACTGGGACCAAGGGCAAAAGCAGCAACTTTCATACTCAGCACGTGGAGGGAGGCTCAGAGAGGGCAAGCAAGCTGCTCAAAGTCACCAGCCAGTGAAAGGCAGGACAGGATAGGGATCCGAGTCTGTCTGAAGCTGAATCCCACACCTCACTGCCCTCTACTTCCAACTAAGTGAAAACAGGATTATAAAACAGAAATGTCTCATGTTTACAAACACTGAGCACTCAGTGCAATGCCCAGCAGTCCAGCCAGATGCCGGCCACAGAACCAGTCCTAATGTATCCGAATGAATCAGGCAGACCAGGTTTAATGATCTCGTTAGCTGTTTATTGTCATTCTAAAGACTAGCACATTTACAGCATACATGGCTTTGAATGAGCTAAGAATATATAAAACGGTAACTATATGTTTATATATATTAATACTGTCCAAAACAAATAAATAAAAGTACCTTAATGCACTAAGCCTGGCAAATACAATTGTGTAGGGACAAAACTGTTATTATACAGTATTTGTACGTTTTTAAAGGAAACCAAAGGCAACTGTGCTGCAGACGCTTTCACAGAATCCACGTCACATCTGAGCTTTCAGTGTCTCAACGTTTCTTTTTAAATGGGTGCCTTATATAAGGAGCACTTGATGGAACCTCTATTTTACGGGAACCTGTACAACTGCCTTCCTTCTCCAACTGAAAACTCAAAGCTCCCGTGTGACCTGGGTACTTGCAGCCACCACGATGGGCAATGTGGCCCCCACTCAACGAGCTTTGTAATCGCGCAGTGCCGCCGTGAGACTGACTACCGCACAGGAGCGGGGGAGTAACGCTCAGGTGGAATACTGAAACCTGAATATTTTCTACGTGATTAGCCAAGTCTTTGACTTTTATGGTGATCCAACATGAAGCCAAAATTAGGAAAATATTCACATAAAGGTGCCACATGCAAAACCGCTAACAGAGGACAACATTTGCTATATTCCCTTTTGGTAAATGCAGGTAATGCTCTTCAGACCAAAAAAAAAAAAAAAAAATCTGAAAGTTGTATGAGTAACATTAAAAATACAAGGGAGTTTTAAAAAATGTTAAAATGAGTAAAGATGGAAATATATAGATACTAGAAAATGACAAATTAAATGAAATGGTGGAGGTGAAAGACTAAATCAGCCATACTGGAAGCTGTCTTTGCACATGGATCGACACAGCAGGAGAATCTGACACCACCTGCTGCCACCTGTGCAGTGGGCTTGCAGGACAAGTTTCTCCGCCTCCGCCCTCCACAGTGAACCCAGCTGTGCAGGGGTTGGTGAGCACCAAGGGTCCCTCACCGACTCACCCTCCACACCAGTTCACACTCACCAGTGGGCGTCAGGAGACAGCAGGCTCCAGGTGTGCACTGACTTCTGAGGAGGAAAGGATCTGAAAGGTCACCTGGTTCCACCCTTACCTGATGCCCACCCTCTGTCCCTGCCAAGGGGTGGTCTTGCCCGTGCTTCAGCTCCCCAGGCCCAAGCCTGTTACGTGTTTCCAAGTGGCATTTCTAGAGAAGCCCAAAGAATAGCATTTAGAATTTTAGATAAAGGAGCTTCCTAAGGGTTCACAAGTCATTAGGATCAGTATCAGGACTATGTGCCACATACATTTCTTTTACAGCCTTTTAAATAACATGTAAACGTACTGATAAAAACAACTGATAAAAACATATAAAGAAAAAACTCTGCTCTGTGCAGATGACTCATCACCTTATAATAGATGACCAGACATAATTTTCTATGAAATTCCTAAGTTTTATGGTCCATTAATCCCTTTCAAAATCTCATTTTAGGAGATATCTCAACTTCCTCAGTGGCCATCTTACATAACAGAATGAGTAGTAACAATTATTGCAGACCTAAAAGACACTTTCATCAGACATTCAAACATGATTGTATTGTCTTCTAGAAGACAAAAAATTGGGAAACCCACCAGAGGACATCAATTTTGAAAATATTTAGGCTTCCACTATCTCTATTCAAAATCCCCCGTTGTTGACTGAGAGGCATCAGACAATACCACGTGCGAGGTCCTGACCTGGGGAAGAAGGGGAGACGTACCCTGGGGCCGGGGAAGAAGGGGAGACGTGCCCTGGAGCCGGGGAAGAAGGGGAGACGTGCCCTGGGGCCGTGGACTACACACGGGGCATAAGGCAACAGGAGCCAGCTGGCCTCATGTCCTCGAGCAGACACCCTGTTCTTTAAGGGACAGGGGTGGCCCCTACTGTGTGGGCGGCTTTGCAGGTATTGTCTTCTAATAAGTCTTATCTCAGGCTGATTTATCAGCCTTTACTTCCACCCGTGCTGTTGCAGGCAGGCTGATGCCCCAGAAGCACTCGCCCTGGCCGCATGAGAGAGCGAGCGTCTTTCCCCAAAACTTCCCTTAACATTTAACATTTAGTGGTCTGCCCGGGATCCAATCATTTAAACTATTATTTACTGTTTTACATGGAGATTTTTAAAAAGTAGATTGTAAATCAATGCTCAATTTTGAGTTACTCAGTAGAAAAATAAGTTAGGTGAGCAGCTGCCTAAGTGGGCGTTTTAGAAAGTCTTAGCATTTCAGACGCACCTGGCTTGATTCATACAGGTAACTGTTGATATCTGTGTGGTTATGGCTGAAGGCTGTTTAAATGGGCAGTTGTTAACTCTCCACACTAGTGAGCCCAACATTACCTGCTATGGATTCCAACGCAAAAAACATGCTCTATAGACTCTTTAGTGAAATAGTTTTTAAAAACATAAAAGTAAAAACCAGTCCTTCAGGTCTTCTTGAAGAATTCATATATGACACTAGAGGGTACCCACATTTATTACATAACAGCTAATTAGAGGAAACCGTGTGTTCATGTTTCAACTTTGCCGTAAGTCCCTTCAGGAGGCCTGTAATGCTTGGGGAAAGCCTTCAGCTGCAGGGAATTAAACGCATATTTGCGACTTCCAACATTCTTCATTGTATTTTCTCTTCGACAACCCTCACTGGGGAAAAAACAAGCACAAGAAATGACAGCAGTAAAAAAGGAAAAAAGAAAAGACTTAAACTCAGATGAAATGAACTGATTATTTTCATAGCATTAAAAGAAAGGCTGATTAATTTAAATGGATGCCAGACTCATTTACGACAATACACACGTAAGATGGCGGGTTTCTGAACAAGGCAATTAAGAAGCACAGAGATGGACACAGGCTGTATGGGACTGCGAGGTTTGCATTTCCAAAAGCAGCACTGTATCGAAGTGGAGGACAACCTTTTTTTTAAGGTAATGGTTTCATGTATTTCGTGTCTGGTTATCTGAGGGGTCTATCCTAACTAGTGGTTCAGAGGTTCTGTCACATAGCAATTTGAATGGAAAAAGTGCTACTCTTACCAAAAGCCTTTAAAAAGCTGAATTTTTCTATATTAGCAACAGCTGTTAACCGTCTCCAATTCAAAATGCTGATTTTCCTTGCAGAATTCAACATGTGGCAAAACCATCTGGCTAAGAAGGTGGCTGTCACATGCTGTCTCAACCTGGGAGACAGCTGTCCCGGGCACACAGCAATGCCGCGGGGCTGTGCGATGGCTACATGGCTCTCAGCGCTGGGGCGTCGTGAAGAAGTGACCCCACCGAGGTCACCTTCTCCAGGTGAGCTGCCCTCGTGGTCACCTCTCTCAAGAGTGCCACTGAGCCAGTGAGAGCCCACAGGGGCCCCTCCCTAGAGAACCTGCCACCAGCCTCTTCTGCTGCTGCATTGATCAAGGGTTGTCATTGGCAACCCAGTGGGCAAAGCAAATGCTCAACAGGCGGATGAGCTGTCAGGCAGGCCTCACACTCCCGAATGGGAGCCTCAGGGGAGCTCTCTGGGAAATGTTCTGATAGACATGAGATTCACAGGCAAAAGCGATTCTAAATAGGAACGACTTCCTATAGCACAGTATAAGTTCATAGTTTTATATTATTCTAAGACTAGCATTTAAATCAACTAAGTATTAAATTTAGTACAAAATCCCCTTTATGAGATGTAAAATTTGCAGTTACCAAGAAACAGTGATTTAAAAAAAATATTTCAAGTTGTATGAAGACCATTATGTCATGCATTTTAAAAAAATATCAGTGGCAATTGCTCAAGCCTTTTAAAGTGAAAATGACAGTCTCACTATTAAGAACATGAAAAATATTTTTGGTAAGACAGTGATTTTATTCAGAAGATAAACTCGGGTATTTTAGAAAAGTATCCACCTGCTTGTTATATTAAGTAATTTAGTAACTCAGATATGCTTTCTTGTCACGAGAGCCTCAAAGCCCTCAGCTACATGTGTGTCATCCGCACTGAGCGCCTAGGCCATACGAGCAGGGAGCCCTAGAGTAAGTAAAGACCATGTGGGTCTAACATCCAATAATCAGATAAAAATACTCCGTTTAAAGCAGAAGCTATATAGGTGCTTCTTTAATCTTTGGAAGCTCTTACATTATTGGACTATTTCAGATATGGCTTCTCCATTTACAAAGAAATGTACACACCTTTGAAAAACTACCTACCAGCAGTAAATGTCAAACTGCTTTGAGGAACGAAGAAGAAGAACTTGTGAACTGTGACGGTACCTTTTTATTTACATGTTAAAGAGGCTGATACTGGTTTAGCTGGCTGAATATATACTACACATGAAATTACAGTCAAGATTACGCTTTATTTTTAAATTGTGCTTATTTTCCCTCAAATGTTTGAATTTGGACTGAGTTTACAAAATCTGACCAATGAGGCTGATCACACGCTGACTCTATCACCCAGTGTTTAGACAAGCTCCAGCCTGGGCCTGGGGCCTGAGTTGTGGAGAGAGGCAAGCCCGTGCTGTGGTAACTGGCGTTTCCTGCCGCAGGGGCCAGCCTGCGTCCTAAGGCAGAATACTTTGATCCCTCACAACGGCTGCATTATTTTTAGGAGTCTACAGTACACACTGAGGTGGCCTTGGATAGATTTTTAGAAAGAGGGATTTAATTATTTCAAAGGTACATGGTTTTTTTTTATTATATCGATAAATTATTTCAAGGACATCTATTTTTTAAAACAAAAAATTAAAATTGAAACCCCAAGTGGCAACTAGTTTTAGTGACAGCTCTGTTTCTCCTTTCCGGAGGGGATCTTCCCCTTCAGAACTCATCTGGACACATGAGTGTCTTGGTGATCCTGAACATCTCGAGTCACCTGCACTGACACTTTCTCAGCGCTAGCATTAGCTCAGAAGCAACCTGAAAACCTTCACCAAGTATCAGTGACTCCCCTTTCTTGAATCATCTCCCCATCTTTGTTTTATACTGCCTGTTACTTACTAAAGCAGGAAAGATTTCAAATATATATTTAGCCTGACTTCGTAAGGCCTTGGCGACATGAAAACTCAGCTGAAAGGCACGCTGAGCTTCCTTGCTCAGATATTCTAAAGCACCACCACCACCCCCAGCCTCGTCTGATCTCGTGGTGCGCTGTCTCCATCTCACCTCGTGACTGCAGTTAGAACGTACTGCCTCCTGACCCACCCCTGAAGAGAAAACCCAAGAATCTTAGCTTAGCAGCCAAGCCTACAGGAAGGCCTGGTGGGCACCATGACAGCCGGGGGCAGACAGCCGGAGACAGGCCATGGTGTCCATGAGGCCCCGCGGGGGTTGCCGGGGGGGGGGGCGCGCTTGTCTAGCTGGCTGCGGCCCCGGTTTGCTGGGCGGGCGGTGGCACCCGGGAAGAGGAGGGGACGCTCTGTGTGGTCAGAAGGGCCTCCCTCATCTGCGCATGGTCTCTGCCAGCCCAGAGGCGGGCACAGCACGTGTCACCCCGGGGGCGGCGGGAGTGCTTTACCCAGAACAGGCTAGGAGCTATGGAACGTGAACCGTGGGCCCTGCCTGCCCTCTTTCCAATAAAGGAACAAGATGGTCTCAGAAAGTCGACTTGTACACCTTGATGTGGAGGAGGACAAGTGGTGGACACACCTCTCCACAAGAGTCACAGGCTGGCAGGACCTCACCTGTGACTAGTGTCATGTTGCTACAACTTAACACCACCAGTCACTTGGCATCTGGAGAGAGACTCCCTCCTGACAGATGTCAGGAGCTGTGCCACAGAGCAGCCACCTCATTCTAGAAAAGACAGAGCGACCACACTGCACTTGTGAGGAGAGTGGACGCAGCTGCCCTAGGCCCTAGGCTCCCCCAGTGCTCAGGTCTAGGACACAGCGGGGAGGAGGATGCCCCTTCATCTTAGAATTTAAAGTCTGCACCTGCCCTCTGTCACCCACTGCTTCTGCAGTCGTAACTGCCTCTACAGTTCCCGGAACCCAGACTCAGATCTGAGGCCAAACCAGAGAAACCCCAGAGTCAGTTCTGGAAGTCGGGGGGAGGGAATGGAGAGGCCAGATTTTGTGGTGGACTGGGTTTGCGTGCATGGCTGGGGGTGAAGTTTCTGGAAAAGCCAGCTTCTCTAAATTCACTCCAGTGTTTCTAGCGTGGTGAAAAGAAATCCACTTCCATAAAATGCAATGTATGGGAAAGCCAGCTGGAGGCCAAAACAGAAGCACAACATAATCGGAGCTGGAAAACAGAGAAGCCACCGCCCGTTTCTTATGCAGGATCTGTGGGGTTCCCTGTCATCTACTCTGCTGCCTTCAGAGGTGTCTAGCCACCGTTTTCCACAGAGGAATGTTAAGGTTACAAATCCTCCCATTTTACAGACGTTGCCATGTTAAAATTAAGAGCAATAAGAACAGAAACCAAAGTGACCTTTTCTCTCTCACACCTCCATCTGGCACAACTGCCCAAAAGTGGACCTTATTTTTTGGTAAATTTTGATTTTTTTTTTTCATTATTAACCATATTTGATTTGTAAGAGAGAAAAGGTATCTGGACTTGAATCTGGAATTAAAGAAGCAGGGGTTTTTTTTTTTTGATGAAAAATGCTATTTCAAGAAAAATAAACGTATCTAACTTCAACAGCCTTTTGTTACTCTGTGCATTTGTTCCTGGATCAGTTTAATGACAAAGATTTAAAAGAGTAATTCTAATGTCACATGCAATATGTTATTTTTATGTGCCTGATTTGATACAATGAGCTACCGTCCTCACAGCTTTGTGTCATCCCAACTTGGAAATAGTAACGTAAGCAAGGAAATGTTATAATTCTGCAAACTGTTTGCTACTATAATTTCAGGGACTACGCTTTGAAATGAAAGCAGAAAGTACATGTCCTATTAAATAGGTTTATCTAGATGAGCCAGTTAGAAAGCATCTACACTTTTCATTTCTCTTCAAAAGGAAAGGAAAGGTTAGCAGTACATTTAAAGAATAGTATCAAATATACAAATTCTTTCCTGACAGAATTCCTCTCTCTAGGAAACAGGGCACAAGAGATATACAGGTAATAAATAGTTTTACATCAGAAGGCAAGAGATTTGGTACAAGTAATTCCAGGCCAGCTAAACAAAGCAGTAACAGAGCTCTGTAAGAACATGTTACAAGCACTGAAAACTCTACAGAATTTAAACGAACACATCCTCTTGGTGAAATAATTTGGCAGGTATTTACAATTCAGAACAACAGAATGTCAAACTGTAAGGCATGAAATACATCTCGGCGGACCATGCTCTGACACGTCCCTTCTGTCCAGTCAGGTACACGGTGGCTGGACATGTTCTGGCACTATTTTTTGGTGATTTGTTAATTTCTCATAACGATATTCATTTGCAACGCAATTTGGCCACCAGGTATGCTACGCTCAGGAAGAGCCACGCAATCAGTAAATTGGGGCTCAGAGCTAGTAAAGGGATGGAACAGAGGAGGCTGGGGTCTAGTCTTAAGTCTCGGATGGGCACCAGGCCGCTCAAGTTCTTCTGGGTGACTACCTCCCGTGTTCCAATGCTGTGAAAAGGAAGAAGGTTGGGAGAAAGGAAAAGAAAAAGGGAAAGAAAATAAAGGAAAAGGAGAGATACATGCAATGGATTTTTTCAAAAGTATGGGGGAAAAAAAAGAAGAGAACCAAAAGATAAGATTTAAAAAAAAACATGGAATGAAGCCACAACACAAAGAAAAAGATGATATGCAGAAAAGGGTGTAAAAGGGATACCAAAACAAAACGAGCAGTTATAAGAAAAAAAGGAGAGAAAGAGAAGGGAAAATAAGAAAAAAATACTGTAATCTACTGAAAACAAACACGTGTAGGCCGACTAAATGGTTTTCCATGTTCACACCCTCGGCTGCCAAGCACACGCCATGCTGCCCTGCCATGCTCGCACATGCGGCCAGACGTGGACTCCAAAGAGCAAGCTGAACATGAAGAACTGTCGGGGGCGTCTGACCTTCTCACAGGTGCCTGAGCGGCAGGTGGTGCAACTTATTTTGCCAAAGCTGCCTCCTGATTAAACACTCAGAGGATAGCCGTTTCCCTTCAGTATCAACTGCAGGCAGAGCCCTCACCAGACTCGCCTTGGCTTTTCGCAGCGGCAGGGTGTGAGCTACCATTCCGAGTCATCGTTCTGTGAGATGGGGTCTACCAAGAATGGAGTCCAACCCAGCTCACTGGAAACTGGGGGTCTGTCCCCCTTTGGTGCTACCTAAGAAATGTGCTGAGGTGAGGCTCCCGGAGGACCCTGGATGCCCTGGATGTGCCATTCTCACGGGGGGCGCTTCTCATGCCACAAGCACTGATCACGGGGTCACGACCCCGGCCAGGGCAGTCTCGGGGGCCACTGGGGCTACTTAGGAAGGCCCACTGTTGTGTTTCGGCCCCTGCACTGGGGATGGAGGGGCACCACCAACAGGGAGCTGGAATGGGCTCCGACGGCAAAAGCCAAGCGTGCGCATCTCTTCCCAGCTCCCTGGTCCGTGGTGTCGCTCGGCAGCCTGAAACAGGCGCTGGCAGGAGTGTTTATGCCACAGAAACTGGCAAACCAGACAGATCAGGTTTTGTTTTTGTTTTTGTTTTTGGAGAGAGCTGGCTGTCAAGCACTTGCTAGCACCGCACTGGCCAGTGCTCACCCTGGGCCTCCAGGACACAAGACAGCCGAGTGTCAGCCCTGCCCCTCCCCCAGCCCACCTACCCCCAGCCGCCCCACCCCGCTGCCTGCGTGCTCTGCTCCTCGGTCAGGCAAGACGCAAGCCAGAAAGCAAGAGAACCACCACAGGGCATGGCCAAACCTCCTGCTGCCTCCTTAGGGCTCCAGGCTGCCCCGCGGCTCCTGGCCACACCGCAGCCAGAAACACCAGCTACTGACCAGCCACCTGGAGCCTGCAGCCTATGAGCAGACACGTCTTCCCCACACGGGATAATCCAAAAAACAGAGAAGTCGGGGGGGGGGGGGGCGGGTAACAGTGTCACATGGAAACAAATGCATGAGGTCAGGTGGACAAGGGTGGCGAGCACGGCACCCGGGGCTGGTGCTCTGAGGATCCCGAGGGCGGCAAAAGCGAGATGGCATCGAGCTTTGCTTTGGTTTTGAATAACGTCAACGATTATTAACGTAACATATGTTCACGGCAGAGGTTTTAGAAAATTCAGAAAAACCTAAATAAACTTAAAAAAGACATCCGTGATTGGAGGCAGGTGGGGTTTCAGAGAAGCAGAGGGAGGCCAAGGGAATGGTGCCCGTCCCATGGGAGGAGAGTCCTTCCCTACTCAGGACCCCGGGGTCCCTGCCGTAATGTAGGAAAGCAAGGTCGACTTCCCAGGCTCAGAAGCGCTCAGAGCAGTGGCAGGATGATTACCCAGAGGGTGGGTGGGCAGGCCCCCGGGACACTGGGTGTGACTGGTATGGGAACAACCTGTCAACTTGTATTAAAGGCCTTACAAGGGTGTACACTCTTTAACCTAAGGAATCAACAGGGCAGACGTGGGCAGGAGAAAACACAAGGGTATTCACTGCACCCTTATTTAAAGTGCTGGCACACTGTACACAGCTTAAAGATTCAAGGACAGCAAATTGGGTAAATTACGGTGCGCTAAACGTAAGGCCCACGTTCATGAACCTGAAGAAAAGCTCACGAGACAGTTACGTGAGAACAGCAGACCAAGCCAGTGGGCAGAACTACACATCCAACTGCGTCTGCTCGTGCACATGTTGTGTGTAGTATTCAGGGACTGGGTAAGTTGACCGACGTGTGGGTTAAGCACGCTCACACTCACACGTACGTATCTGAACAGGCATCAGGACGTTAGCAGTGTTCCCTGTAGTAGCAGGAACACGGAGAATTGTCCTGTGGGCTATGGGCTGGTGCGGGAGTCACTGGGGTAAGGGCTTATGTGGATTTTCTTATTTTCCTACAAGGAATAGCAATCACCCACGTGATCAAAGTTGTGAGCATGTCTCATGTATTGTAAGCCTCCCAGTTCACCTGTGCACGTGTGGGTAACTGCCCACAGCCCCTTGGCGGGCTGCAGGCCAGCAGATGGGGCCGCCCGTGTGTCTAAGGAGCCACCTGCTCCCTGGTCTCCCGAGACCTTTGTGCTCAGACACAGTCAGAACAAACTGTTGTTTTCGTCGAATGTGTTCACAAAGCCAAGACTGGATAGAGGGGTACCAACCGTACACCTGGCGCACGCCTACGGCACGGACCTCATCCTAGTATCTGCCCCACAGCTAGAGCTGTGTCCCTCCATTTTTCTCGTCTCTCTGCGGCCGGCGGCCTGCGTCTCACCAGTGCGGTCCTCCCCTCCACCTCGCAGCTGACCGCACCAGGGATGCTGAGACCCCACCGCCTCCCTGAGGCCGAGGCAGGGAGAGTGTGAACTTTCTAAAAGTGCATCATCAGCAGGCAGCCCTGAGGTCACGAGGTTTGGGTGAACTTGGAAAGACCAAACAGGAACAAATGGTTCCAGTTCTACAAAACGCTACTGTCAAGAGGCAGACGCTCAGGCACTGCTTTCGTGTAAGACTGTGAGAAGGTGAAACGGCAGAGACATACAGAAAGGATAAGAGAATTGAATGCTTTGAAGAATTTGGTGAGAGGACAAATGGTACAGAACATTCAGTAGAAGTGACTTGGAAACGAGACTAAAACAGCATTGGCGGCCACATGGAAGAAGACAGGAGGAGCACGTTTCTTATCCTTTCTTTTGGTATGTGAGGGGAGGTGCTCCCCGGCAGTGCCGGAAACAAGGCATCGCTCGGCAGCGGACAGAGTTTTAGTCCCAGGCTTCATCCTGCAAACACGCCTGCTGCCTCGGAATCAGAATATCATTAGGGCAAGGTGGCCACGGCACAGGGACAGGGGAGGGGCTGCTGCCAGGAAACACTCACTGGACACTGGGCTCATGAAAGCAAACCCAGCCCACCACTGGGAGAAGCGGAGCCAACCGGCGCAGCCTGCGGACGCTCGGTCTCCCCTCGGTTTGAAAAGAGACAACGCGGGATGGGAACAGCCGGGGCCTGCTGGGATGCCTGGGCCCTGAGTCGCACCCACAGCAAGATGAGTGGCCGGGGCACACCGGGCACCAAAGGGCAGCCACACAGCCGCCTCCGAGCTCACCACCTCCCTCCCCGCTGCCTCGGCTCGCCCGCTTCAGTGCAGCCCCACTCAGACACAGCGCCGGCTCTTTTCTCCCCCTGACTCAAAAGAGGACACTGGATGTGATGGGCCTGGAGTTTGACTTGGCAGACGTGGAGGAATTTTCCAAAGCCAAACTAGAGCGCGGCCGCCGGGCCCAGGGGACTCACCTGCGCATGCACTCCAGGGCCTGCGTGAAGACCTGCGGGGCCATGCCGTGCTCGTGTTGCAGGATCAGGCACTGCTCCAGTGTCACCGACATGGCTGTGCGGTCCTTGGCGCTCTTGCAGCTGGTGAACCGCACCCCATTGAGGCGGCGGCAGATCTGCCAACGGGAAGGCAGGCTTTACTTAGGGGGAGACGGGACAGGTCGCTGCCCCGGGCCACCTCCCGGGGCCTCTCCCACAGGACGTTGCTGCCTCCCGGGGACCCGCCGTCTGCTCAGCCACATTCCCAGCTCTGCCCGGACCAGCCCTTTGCTGCCCACCCCCTGGGGTAGGTCAGAGAGCTCCCAGGATGCCCAGCCCCCGCCAAGTCTCTAGGCCTTTCTGGAAGTGACAGCACAGACCCACTGGTCTCTACACGCTTCCTCGTCTGCACAGGTGGGAACAGCTCAGCAGACCCACTTCCCTGTGGCCACCTCCTGCCCACCAGGCTCCCCTCCAGCTCGACCCGGGGCCCTGGTACAGGGCCCAGCGTACCTCCCCTCCCAAGTGAGGGGCTCCCGTGGAGGGCAACCCCCCTGCTGAGAAAAGGCCGCCTCAGGGCACCTCGTCTCCCCATGGAAGGACACCTGGGAGCATTTGCTCTGCATTACTAGGAGCAATCCTAGGCACACAGTCCCCGAATCGAGAAAGCCCTAGAACAAAAGACTTTTTTTTTTTTTGGTATAAAGTTTGTGGCAGCCTCGTTTGGCAACACGACCAGCTCTTGAGTGGATGTCAAACTATCTACAATTTTTATTTATCCCATTTTGTATACATATTCATACTTTTCCGTAAGTATTCAGGAGTTTGATTCCAGGGTGCTGCCCCAGATCCCCTGGGGATGTGAAATCATCCACGTGCACCACGTTACACACAGGTGATGTGCACCCTAGCACACGCCTAGGTACCAACTGTATACCATATCACCTTTCTGAAACGTGGAGCCCTGTGAATTCTAAAACACCTGCCCACGAGAGCTTCAGATAAGGGCCTGTGGACCCGTAGGAGATGCTGCATTGTGAGAACAACATGGGTATCTCACGAAGAACCATGTGACCTAACGCCAGTGGGCTCCGTGACCTGCTGTTCTCAGAAAAACACCAGAGGCGCTGCCCTACAGATGGCCCCGTGCCTGCTTCTCGGGCCAAGAGGCCTCAGCCAAGACCACGCAGCCACTGCCAGGGATGCCGCTCTACAGAGGACACAGTGTGGTCCCAAGCACTGTGTCCGAAGAAAGACAAGACAGAAAGGACCCAAACAAGTTCAGCCAAGACCATCAGGAGGAAGATGGGCATCTTGTGAGAATAGACAAAATTTTTTTTAAAAGATTCTAAGCAGCCCCTGAGCTAGGTGAAGAGTGAATTAATAAAATCGTAACTGATGAAGTGAACGGGGACGTGCTCGCTAAATTCCACAGGCTGGAGAATTCATGACCCAGACATGTGGCATAAACCAGAACTACAAATAGGGTCAAAGAAAGTTACATTCATAGATGGTGGATCCAGAGCTCCATGAGGTTCTGGAAGGTGCAGCAGGGTGGCCACAGGTGCATCCCTGCACAAGAGGGCAGCCTGCAGCACCAGGCTCCAGTCTTTGTGGGGGGACTATCAGCCACTTCGGGGTGCTGGCGGGTCTCCCCATGTGTGAATTAGGCCCGACTAATAATATTCCAACTCTGTGTGTGAGTCCCAGTGTGGACTGGTCCCCTCATCAGGGGTGAGTGAATGACGAGCTGTGAAACTGCTCTGATACCCGGGCGCAGAGCAGGAACTCCACAAACAAATTGGTGAGAAAGTATCTGAGGTCTTATAAGGACTTCATTTCAGGGGAAATGCGGAGATCTGAGCAGCAGTATACTAGAAATATTGTTTAAAGAGATGGCAGAGGTCCCAGAGATCTCCCTTTGAACCTATTAAAAGATGCAGCAGGTCGTGAGCTCTAGCTGGTTATCGACTGTGCGGGCTTCGGAAGGGGACAACTGTCACCAGCCTGGTTACTCCACGTCCGAGGGGGTAGACTCTGTGTCAGGCTTATCAGCATTCAGGCAGCCCTACAGTAAGCAACTCACGAGCAACTCTCATTGTGTCCTTATGGAGAAATCTGTTCTCTTCGCTCCTGGCTGAGGTTTTAATTTGTTGTTGTTATTAACATTTTTTCCCTCACCTCAGCAGCTTGCCAGAGAATGTCAACGTTCTTGTTCTTCCTGGCGTGCACGTTCTGACCCAGGAACCGCAGCAGCTCCGGCAGGCACGTCTGGCTCCGAGATCGAGGTAGGCCTGGAAGAGAGACGGGGTCGTGGAGCTGGGGCCGCCCACGGGGACTTAGCCCACGGCAGCCAGCGCCGCCGGAAACGGCCAAAGGATGAGTCCCGGCCCGAGCCGGAGGTTCAGTGTGATTGAAGCAAGAAGGGAGGCCTGTGTTCAGGGACTGGGCCTGGTGGCCAGTACGGTGAGCACTCCATTACTTTCACTGCCACTTCAGTGCCACCTGCAAAGGGCAACCACCTGGCCTCCTTTCAGCTCTTTCGAGGGGCTGGAGGAGGAGCTCGAATCATCGAGAACGGGAGGGAGTGAGGGAGATCCATCAGGTCTTCAGAACTGCCGCCAGGGCTGGAGGATGCTTAGGGCCGGGGGTGGCGACACTGAGGGGGCCGCCACCCTTGGGGGAGGTGGGAAGGGCAGCCTCCTCCACTGCGACAGTGTCCAGGCCGCTCCAGGACCCCTCCAGCTGGAAGATCAGTCAGACCACCTCACCTCAGAGGCCTGGGATTTTCAAATACCAGGACCACCAGAGGAGAACAGAAGAGCCTCGAGGTCACATCTACAGAAAACAGCCAGGGGGCCTGAATCCGCAAATCACCACCAACTGTGCGATGAAACTGTGCACCCGTTTCCACCACACAACCTCCCCGGTGCACGCAGGATCCCATGCCAACCACTTCACGCTGCTGCTCGGTGCCCAGCACCACGCTGCTCCGGGGACCGGGCCAGAGGGCTCAGCGTGTGACGGGGGCTGTGGGAACCCAGAGACTGCGAACCAGAGCCTCCTGGAGGAGACGCACGACCTGACCTCCGGCCCGATTAGCGACACTGGTGCCCCAGCAGAGTTGGCGGCGCTTGCTGCTGGGCCCCATCTCCTCAGCCTCGCGGATGAGCGTAACTACCGGGCTGAGGGCCACGCGGGCTGTGGCACCCCCAGCGTCCTGGGCCGTGGGCAGTGCTACTGGCTTTTGATCCCGCAGGCCTCGCCCTTCCCGGGCCTTTACCCCCGGGGCCACGCCTCACTGGAAACTGCCGCCCTCCAAAACGCTGAGCACAAGTCTCCCCCTTCCTGACCACAAGGCTCCTGATGCCCCAGCGTGGCCCTTCCGCCTCAGGGCGCCCTAGCCAGGGGGCTGGCCCAGCACACGCTCCCGTCCCCTCAGTCCAAGCCTGAGCAGCCGGCACTGTCCCCGCCTCCAGAGCAGTCAGTCAGAAGGTGGGCGTTGGCCACAGGCCACCTGGCCTGACCCGGGTTCCTTGGGGGACCTGCCCTCCATGCCTCAGTGTCACTATATGTCAAATGGGTATGAAACCAAGCCCGCCTCCCAAGGCTGCTGTGGGATCAGTTAGATAATTCATGGGAAGTGTGTAGAACTGGCACGTGCAAGGACTTGACAAATCTGTCACTGGTCACTATGATCACTGTGGAAGAACACGAGGATGACTCGGTATCTGGGATCCCGAGAGCCCAGGTGCCATGACCTTCAGCTGACTCCTCAGAAAAGCATTTTACTGACCTCTTAAACGTCATCGCTTTCGAGCTTGGTTGCAGCACACGGGGATCACCCGGGGAGTTTCTAAACCTCCCGAGGCCGAGGCCAGACCCTCTACACTCTGAGCTGGGCCCCTGGCAAGAGGATTTTCCCAGGTTCCCCAGTGAATTCCGATGTGTGGTCAGTGCCAGAGCCTCGACGGCTCCAACAGCACCCGTCCCAAGCCTCCTTCACGGCCGCCAAGCCCAGTGCTGGGTTCATGCCCTCAGTTCATGGGGAGACTGAGGCCCCCCGCCTGAGCTCCTGTGCCCACACCATGTCCCCCCACTCGCTTGCGGGCCCCGACCTGGCCCTGCAGGATCTCCAGTCCTGCCCTCCTCTGGCATCTCACAGGCCTGTTTTTCTAGTCCCTTCGCTCAGGCCTTTAAGACCCTTCCATCCCCCATGCTCCAGGCGTGTTTCCTGCCTCCCCACGTGCCAGCCCTCAGTCCCTGCCGGCCTCCAGCCACTCGAGGCCGTGCAGCGTAGTCACCCACCCGTGCCACCGCAGCCTCGCCACACGGCGACTGTGAGATGCCCCTCAGACACAAGGGGGGCCCCTCGGCTCTGCGCCCCCCTGGCCCAGCCTCCATGCGAGCCCTCCCCAGGGTCTGTCCTCAGCCCCTTCGTGTCTTGCACGGTGACCTCGGGCATGAAAGCAGCCGACCACATTGGTGACAGGGCGGGAGGCGGGGGGGGGGGGTCAGCAGCATCAGCATCAGAAGGTCGCTAAGCAAACCTCAAACCCCTCGAGGGACGAAAGACAGCAGGTGGGGACCTGCCGTGGTGAAGAGATACTTACAATCCTCTGGCAAAACCTCCTTAAACTGCTCGAAGTAGGAATTTAACCGCACCAAGCTCTCCACGTTGATAACTTCTTGCAAAGACGTGTCGCCAAACCTTCAGGGGTCACAGGGGGACACCGTTAGTTGGCTAATGTCGCTGTCTCTAGTGCCACGGTGACCGCGTTAAAGGTAACAATGTCGATTCTCTTGATCCTTATGGCGCACGTCAAGATTCTAAGCCACGTTCCTCCCCCCAAGCTTAAGGTCATCTCTCCCGTGTTGGTGACAAGTCTGAATACGTTTCATGAGCAGGAACCCTGTGTGACCTGTGACAGGCATACCTGCGAGACACCCAGGCCCTTGGGCAGCCCCGCCGCGCGGCCCCGGGTCCCCGTCCTCCCACCCCGGAGGCGCCCGGGAGCGGGGCCGGCAGTGGGGCTCTGGCTGGGGAATCAGGACAGTCCCATCTTCAAATCGGAAGTCGCCCTGCTGCTGGATGACCAGACCCGACCAGCTGTTCCTGCTGGACGGAGTGCAGGGCCCCAGCCCTCCCCTCACCACACAGGGAGCCAGGCCCACGGGGAATCGGGAGGGAAGCCACCCGTGAGGAAGGCGCAGGTGCTCATCAAACACGCAGCCCTGGAGTCCCAGGCCTGGACGCACGCCCCCTCCACCACTTCCTGCCCAGCGACCTCCGTGCATGGCAGCCTCTTCACAGTCCCAAAGTCATCCCTCGGGGGGCAGGATGCCCTCCTGTGGGTCCACCGCAACCCAACCACCCCTGATGCCCAAAATGGCTTTTTCTCCTCCAGGCACCTGCTCCCTGGGGGTCGCCCTGGGACACAAGTGAGCTGGCCTTGTTTAGGGGCAGACAAGCAAGCAGAGCACAGACCCTGCCTCCCGTGTCCCCCGTCCACTGCCATGTCCTCCGCCACCTGGCCCTCTGCTCACTCCAATCTGGCCTGGCCTCAACCCTTTGCAGAAACCTTTCCAGAAACACCTTTTTCAGAAACCACTCTTGCAGTCAGGAACAGCAGCTGCCAGACGCAGGGGATGTTACCTCCTCCTGAGGACACCTCCTTGCTGGGGCCCCGACACTGCCCACTCTACCTGAAGTGGGCACCTCACCTCTGGCCACACCTTCCGGATCTCTGCTTCCTGGGCTGGCGCCCTCAGCCTAAGGCCAGCTCTCCAACTGCCCCCAGCGTGACCCCTCTCCCGGTTAGGACCCGCTACTCACCACCCACCTAGAGGCCTGCTCTATTCCTCTCCTCGTCGCCTCTCACACCTGCCCCACTGAAGACCACGTCTCGGCTCTCCAGTCTGTCCCTTCCCATCTGCACTGCCCCTGCCTGACCCAGGTCACCGCCTCTGGCCCGGACTCTTCCCGACAACCCCCTCGTCACATCTGGCCCCTCACATCTTTCCAGCACATGGCCGGCAGATGACCTTCTTCAGATGTGACTCTGATGGTGTCCTGTCCCACTGAAAGGTCTCCGACCGTGTGGGGAGGACCCTACACCTGGGGGTCAATGGACACTGACCACTGGGCTCAGAGGCTCAACAGGAATATGGCATGTCGTCCTGGAGACCACATGTCCTTAACAGCAAGAACTTTAAGGTATCTTTCAGTTCTAAAACACGGAGATCACATGCATGTAACGACGTGACAGGAAAGGTCTTCACGTACCAACAGAAGGTCATTAGAAGCTACACACTCCCAATCCCCTCCTCCTCTCCAACACCTGCACACACTCTTGCACACGTGGGCACACGTGACTCTTCCCTGATGCCTGGCAGGTGACCCTGGAGGAGTTTACGAGGCACAGGCCTTTAGGACCAAGGCGTGGCTCTATGCCTGCCATCCAGGCCTCTCCGTCCTCACCCCTGCCCACTGCTGCCTGCTACCTGAGCCTCCGGCCCCACGTGGCTTCTCCCCACCTGCCTTTGTTCAGGCTCCTTGGCCTGGGACGCCAGGTCTCTCCTCCACCTCCTTATATAACCAACTCCTACTTACTCTTTAAAACCCACTTCCAGGAAGCCCTCCCAGACCCCCTGAGACCTCACCAGGGCCCCTACTCCCTGCATTCATCTTAATCCTTGCAGCCACATCTCTCTGCTACCAGCCCAAGTCTCTCGAGGACACGGACCTCGTCTGGTTCATCTTTGTGTTTCAGCACCAAAGACGAGCCCGGTATGTGGCTGAACTTAAAGGAAGGAGGGATAACAAAGTCCAGGTGGCCCTCGGAGCCCGAAGAGGACTAAGTACACGCTCTCCAGCAGCTCAGCAACCGACGGATGCAGCCCCTGGCCCACAGAGGTGGCCCGGCACGCACCTTTCGGCCAGCGTCTGCTGCTCGTTGATGCCCACGTTGAAGAGCACAGGCTGCACCCGCAGCAGCATCCCGCTCTGGATCTCCCGGGGCAGGGCGTCAAACAGGGGCCCCGGCAGGGGGATCCGCACGTTAAAGCCATCCCTGAAACGCAGAAGAAGAGGAGGGTCAGGCCTGCGACAGGGAGATGCAAGACAGGCGAGCAAGGAGAGGAAGGCCGTGCTGGCCTCAGGACGGGACAGCGGCCTGGCCCGGCTCGGAGACCTCCTAGCTGCCGGTCACCGACCTGTACAGGGCTGTGAAATGAGTGTAGCAGGCTGGGATGAGCGTTTCCAGCTGAATGAAACGGAATAAAGCAAAAATGAAACGTGCATCACATGTGATGAACACAGATGAAAACTGCGCTAGTTCTGAGAATCAGAAAAACATTTCTACCGATTTCCTGTGATGACGGGCAGCATGTCGGTTGATGCATTAGAAGTAGCCTGAGTGACTTTGAAGGTCACGTTCCTCAAGTCCATGATCCCAAGACTCATGTCCTCCAGCATGGCCAGCTCCTCCCCTGGAGGCAAGAGAGGGAAAGGCTGTCAGGCAGAGGGGACCTGCGCTCTCCCCTGGACTCAGCGTGGCCACGGAAGGACAGCAATGAGCTCAGGGTGAAAGTGACGAGGCGGTAAGAGTTGGGGGGAGGCTGGCCAAGTGCCTCACTTCTCCGTGAGTAAAGCCCACTACTGAAGTCCTATGGCCACGTTAAAAAGCGCAGCTGGTGCAACCAGGCCTTGTAGTTCCCGGCCCTTTCCTAGCAAAGGGAGGGGTGGGGGACCTACATGTGGGAACCTCAGAAGGCAAAGCCGGCTCTTTAGGCGTTGTGATCTTTCCGTATTCTTTAGATCTTTTGATATTTCTTCAATGTCTTAGAACTCCAAAGATTAACAGATACTTGAAAAAAAGTTACCCGTTTTTACCTTCTAAGAAGAAATAAACAGAAAACGAAGGTGAGGAGAAGAGAGCATTTATAAGACAATTTGGAAATACCAACAAATTTTTTAAATACTCCTACTGTGTGACCCAGCAACTTTCCTTCTAATAATTTAGTGGGTGCAGAAATGGGCCACAAGCGGGTGTGTGTGTGTGTGTGTGTGTAACTATATAGGGCTTTTTTTAGTTCTTTGTCACGTATCGGGGTGTTTGGATACATTTTCATCAGTACGTGTTACCTGTGTACCAGAAAACCACTCAGGGAGACGAGAGGGGCCACACACGGAGGCTCTCACAAGCCCAGCCCAGGCGGCTCACCGTAGGTGCTCAGCAGGCTCTCAAACTGGGCGAGCAGCCCGATGGTGTAGAGCTGCCGCAAGAAGCCGTCGTCGTGCAGGCAGTTCCTCAGCTTGATGACGAAGCCACAGATGAGCGCGGTCAGCTGCAGGGAACAGACACCGCCTCACCTCGCGCCTGGCCCGCCCCGGTTCCTGCACCCGCGTTGCTCTGCCTGCAGCGGCCCCTCACTGTCGGGGCCTGGGACCAGGAGTGCAGAGGCCACGGGAGGGCTCGCTTCCAAAGGTCCGTCTGGTTTTGGTTCAGCTTCCGACCCGACCTTGGGGTCACTCCTGGTCCAGAACCTTCTGGAAGCCCAGAATGATTTCCCCACGGTGAAAGGAAAGGCCTCTATGCCCAAAGATCCACAGCAGCGCCGGCTGGAAAGCGCGGTGCTCACGACGAGGGGCAGGAGTGGAGAACAGGGTGTCCCGTGCACAGCCCCGGCCTCGCGGGGACAGGAAGCCGCACAGAACCCACCAAGCCTCTGCCACCATTCTCTCTGCTAATCAGATTACTGCACCTGAAAACTGGTGATGCTCATTTAAGCTCTTCCCTCCTCTGAAGGGAAATCGAAATCACTGGAATAGAGTTGTGCCTGAGCGGGTCTAATACCTGCTGCTTTATAAACCAGAAAACAGATTGCTCGTCTTCCCTCAATGAACTCCTCTGCAGGGAAGAACAAAGGTGGCACCAGGGCCGGTGTGACCCCAGGCTCCTTGGGGCAGGTTCCCAGGGAGCAGGTGTGAAGCCGGACCATCCTGAGCACCTGCGATCCAGCAGCTCCTCTCCCCCTCCCTCCAAGGCCAACACCCAGGCCTCAGGCCACACGGGCAAAGCCACAGGCGGGAGGGCACAGCGCCACGCTGGTTTCCTCAACCGGCAGAGAGGGACAGGTTCACCTACCGTCTGGCAGAAGACCACGTCGCGGCGGTACTGCAGGCTCAGGAAGGTGGCGATGGTGGGCGCGCTGTCCTGCATGAGCAGGAAGACCATCGCCTTCTTGGCCTTGTCGCTCATCATGGCCACGCAGTCCGTGAGGGTGGTCAGCAGGGGGTACAGGGCCTCGCTCCACTCACCTGGCACGAGGGGCGGTCGGCTCAGAAGGCGGCGCTTCGAAGGCCCCCGGCCCCCAGTCCCGCACTGGCCCTGCCACCCCGCCTGCCCCTCCTGCCTCCGCACGGCCCAGAAGTGGCGCCAAGTTCAGCCCCGGTCTCTGCCCTCCTAGCCTGAAGCTTCTCCAGCAAACGCACCATCAGCCCTCCTCGGGGACCGCCGACACCCCCTCTGGGGACTCTACACACTCATGGCCCCGACTGTTCCTTTCAAGGAAGATGACAGCGAGCTCTGGGAGTCATGACTCAGCAAGAACACACTGTGTCTGCGGAGGCCAGTGCCTCCCGGCACCGCCGTCCCTCGCGGGGTACCTGCTGTCTGGCTTCTCTGATCCAGGTGGCGAGGCAGAGCCCCGGGCTTCCGGAGCAAGGCCAACCAAGCCTGGCCGAGCCTTTGCGCAGCGGGCGCAGGCCCCACCCACGACTGCGGAAGGACCCTCCCCGCCTACGCAGCCGCAGCCCTCAGCGTCCCGCCTCCTGCGCTTTCTTCCCCGCCGCCACCTTCCTGCCGGACTCTCCCTATTCCTGGCTTAGTGGGGTTGTTCTGTTTTTGGAATACAAGGAAACTTTGACCCTGTACCAAAACAACTTTTTAAAAATAGAACCTCAGGGGAGAAAAACAGAGTGAAAGGTATTTTTGGTTTTGGCTCTTCTTGGTCCTTCCTATTTGGAAGACATTTAGACGAGAAAAGACATGCCCCCATCAGTTATATTTTTTTAACAGGCCACCAAGCCCAGAAATAGGCACTGGATCATCACCACTGGGTGCGCCCACTCGGAGCACGGCGAAGGCAGTGGTGTGCAGCCCGGGCAGGGCACCCTCCTAGGATGGGGTGAGGGTCACAGGATGCCCGTGGCCGTCGCCCCACTCAGGACAGGCCCTGGCCTCGTGAGCAGTGCAGCTGCTAGGATGGTCAGCTCCGTCTCAGATAAACAGAATCTTAAAAAGAGAGAAGGGAGCTGTGGCTCTGCTCTCTCAAACTGTGTGCTTCACGCTTTGCTGAGAAACAAGTTCAGAGAAACGCCCAAAACCTACAAAAGGACTGCCCTGTACTCAGTGTTTGGTCAGCGCAGATTTTCAAGTCTACGTAGCCATTCAAAATTTGGAAATGATCTGAGTGTATGTATATGCAGACACACTGTACATGGACAAGGATTTCTATCTCTAGTGGAAAAAAGCAGGCTTACATTTAGAAAGTCTATAGCAAAAAGGTCCTGGCAAATAAATCACAGTGAAAAAGAACCCTGCATGGAGGAGCGGAAAATGTGAGTCCCAGGCCCCAGCTGCCACTGAGCAGTGGTGGGTGAGCCGTGGGCAGGTCCCCTGACCCCTCAGCCACAGGGGCCCTTCGCGGTAAAACGGGGTGACTGTTGTGGATAATATCCACGTCTTTCTTCCTCTAAAATTCTCAGAGACCATGTTTTTGTTTCTTTGAAGAACTCTGTTGAATCCATGTCAATTATATTCAACAACTGTCAGAAAAGGCCAATGGGCATTAAGTTTTAATAGCCAAGTAGTTTGGGGAAAGGTAGGCAGTCATTAAGACTATGCTTCACCTCAGAAGTAAATGCTCTTAGAGCAAGTGTTGCCAGTTTTACTTTCTGTTCCACTTAACATGAGTATATATATGTAATCACTGTGCAACTCATGATCATTTTAACCTGAAAATGATCAGAATATACAAGTGGTCTTATTTGACTGAGCAAGCCCTCTGCATACAATTTTTTACTCTGCCTACTTCTGTTTAAGCAAAATCCACATAAGAATGACTTAGTTTTGCTGCATTAGAGAAAAAACAACAAACCAGACCAAAAAAAAAAAAAAAAAAAAGACACCGAAAAAAACTGTAGAATTGGAAGAATGGTTAAAAAAAAGCACTCAGGGTTTGTTCCGGAGAAGAGATGTGGCCCTGGGCGGGAGTTGAGCCTGATGTCCGCCCAGAGAAGGGCTCAGCCGTGTCTGGATGGCTCCGGAGTTCAATAAGAGCATCAACCAGCCCTTAAGTCAACACCTGTGAGTGCCTCACTCTCTGTTTTCTCACTTAATCCACAGAGAGAGGACTAGTAATATGGGTAAGGAAACAGCCTCAGAAAGGCTAAGTGTCTTCCCAGACACACAAAAAGAATGGCCACTTGTACACACATCTGACTACACAGCGAAGAGCCGCTGGGGATAATACATTTTGGGTCAACACGAGGGGAAACCAAACTTCAGAACTTCCAAACAAAATAAATTTCAGGGACAGTGATGAGATTTCTACCAGAACCTAGTTAAGTACAGGTGTCTGGGACGTTAGGGTTGGTGAGGGGGTTTACTCTGCCTCCTACATTGGGAAAGTCTGGCAATGAACAAAAAGCACCAGTGTCTAAGCAGCACCCTTCGTGCTGGAGCTGATGCCCCTTGTGGGACAAGCTCCTGATCTCACTGCTCACCTGGAACAGTCACTGACGGGGGGCCAATCCAGGACTGTGCTACTTTAGGTAGCTTTGCTTTTGTGTATTTTTTTTTTTTTCTCTCATTAATAGGGGAGGGAAAGGAGAAAGTAGGGAGAGAGAGAGAAAATGGTGTGTGTTCTAACTCAGACTAAATACAGCTCTGTAGGAAAAGCTAAAGGAACCCTTGGCAGGGGACCTTTTAGTCCATCTGACATCAACTGTGGACAGGCCACCAAAGCTTCTGGAAGTGACAGAGCTCACAGAAGACGAGGAGAGCTGTACAAGCCAGGCTGCCCGAGTGCTGCCTGGGAATCCGCTAGACCTCCCCTCAGCCCTACAAACTGCAGGGCTTGCAGAGCCGAGGAAAGCCCCGAGCTGCCTCGGGCCAGGGTCATGAGGCCGCCACCCCCTATCCTGGCCTTAACTGCTGGGGACGGTCACCGCCACGGGGCTCGGGGGAGACAGCGCAGCGAGAAGGCACCGACCTGTCCTGCAGGTAAGCTGGGGGGACTGGGAGTCCAGAGGCAGGTGGGAAGGAGCCAGGCCCAGGCCAGGGGAGGTGCTGGGGAGGGCCCAGGTAACCGGAGCTGGAGACCTGCTCGTGACCAAACTAACGTTTCTGGGGAGAGAAACTGAGGGGCTGAAAGCAAACTGGGGGGTTATGAGGTGCCCAATCGGATTACCCACTGATGAGCAAATGGGGTTCTGGAGTCACGGCCGTGAGCGGAGCTGAATTCCCTGGTGCTGTGTGAGTGAGAGGATGCTCTGAGAGCTGACGGGAATAGTGCGGTAAATCCCGCAATCACAGCTGGCTGCACCCTAGACATAAGGCAGGTGGCCTGCTATGTCATATTTACATGCAGTCAGAGGGCGGGATGTAATCCTCAGGCTGACTGGGTAGCTGCGTTTTGGAGTGTAAGGGGAAAAAAACCCCACAACATCGTACTTGGGGGTCTCGTGCTCCCTCTGGGAAAACCACAAGCCACATCGAGGAAATTCGATATGAACTAGAGCAGGGGTCGGCACATTTTTTCTGTAAAGGACTAGACAGTCAACACTTTAGGCTTTGAAGGCCACAGGGTCTCTGTCACAACTACTGGACTCTGGCACTGCCCCAAAGCAGCTGTGGACAGTACGTGAACGAATGGGCATGACTTATTTCCAGGAAAACGGTATTTACAAGAGCAGGTGGTGGACGGGATTCGCTCGGAGCAGTGGTTTGCTGACCCCTGAACTAGAGTCACAAACACTGATTCCTACATGCAAATGCAGTCCGAAAGATTCCATTTCTAGCACTAACTCCACCTGAAGCCCACAGCAGTGCCTGACAGGAAGTCTAAGGCTGCAGCCAGGCTCAGAAGAGAGGAGGCTGCGTGATTACCATGCCACAGCATCTGGACGGCTACCTCTTATCTGCCTCCCCCTCCATGGGACACTCGCAAACTCAGGTGAAATCACAGGAAGCGTCACATACCATCGTGTACCTCTCTTAGCCAGGCCACCCACTTCAGGAAGCCTAATGCGCTCGTGGACACTAACTTCTGAAAAGGGTTTAGGACGGGAAAGTGACAAAAACGCATGTGGTAGCCTGCTTCTGGCCACAATACCAGCCCGACTGGCCCCTCGGCAAACCTAAGAAAAGTTGCTACATCCCTCACAATGAGGAAACTCCTAAAATGTTTTCCTGACTCTGGGAGTACAAGGTAACCTTTGACAGTTTAGCTACAAACACGCCCTGAATGTTAAGAAGACATCTGCAGAAGCCTTGAGCAGAAACCACGTACCTGGGCTGGACTCTTCAGGAGGGGGACTGCAATCTGCACAGAAATGGAGGGTGACATGGATGATTAAGGAGCGGCACACGGTTCAAACACGAGCAACTCAACGCTTAGCGCAACTGCAGCAGCAGCTGGCAGTAAGCCGGCTAAACTGAGCCTCGGGGAAGAGGCCGGGGGCCTGCCTGCCTCTTCCCCAGGAGTCACACGAAGGTGGTCGGGCTGCCTGGAGCTCCCTGCCCGATCCACCGGTGTCAGCATTCATGTTGCTGGTACTTCAACATGACACACTCTTCGGGAAGAGCAGGTTAACGTGTCACAATGAGATAAAGCCCCCACGTCCATCCCATTGCATGTGCTGGAGCCCACGCTGGCTCACGACATCTGGAAGCAAACTTGCAGTGAGAGAGACTGACCGGTAAATCGAGCGTGCAGCTCAGAGCCCACCGCCCTGACTGACTCTAGAGCCCGGGCTAAAGGTCGGCTGCTGAGATCCAAAAGGTTAGGGTCCAGTCATGAAACCCATATACCAGACACATGCATGCCAATCTTTACGATGTTTAAGCCAAATACAAAACGTTTATGATTGAGGGAAGTCTAGAATTGGAACATCCCTCCAGGTCCCTCAAAGAATACCAAGTTTAACTCAATTTCACCTACACTGAGTCACATCGGGAAGTACGCATTTCAAGTTCTCTTCTCCCTTAAAAACTCTAAAATTCCTGGTTAACTGGGTGTGCCACCTGAAACAAGTTTGAAAAGGGATCGTTTGGGCTAAAAGCTTATTTTATTTTATGTCTAAACTTTTCAGTTCAAAGAACGTTTTAGGATCCTGAAACAGGTAGTTTCAGATCCTCAAGAATAACTAGAACCAGCTGAACGGAGACTTTGACAACCTGGATTGTCCAGAAGGGTGGTGGCAGGGATCTTCTGTCTAATCGTCTTTGGCAATGACTTCTTAAACTGGCCAACGGGACAGAAAATAGAGCAAAATTAAAGGCCTCTGTATGTTGAAGACTTCAGCGTCTTCACTAGAGCGCAAATATCCTGAGACTGCCTACTTCACAAAGAGGGAAACCACCGTGGGGTGTGTGATGCACAGTGGTGACTGTTCAACATCTGTCTGGCTAAAATCAGAATTACCCCAGGCCTTGGAAAAATACAGATTTCTGTCTCCCCATAACCCTTCCTCCAAGATCCCGAGGCTCTATGAGGAGAAGGGTTTAGAAGCCTGTTTTCACGATCTGCAGTGATCCCAAACTGCTGGGCTGGGACCATGCCTGAGAAGGGATCAGGGGTTAAACCCACCGGGTAGACTCATCTTTCAATCAAACGGGAGAGAGGGATCTCCTCTTAGATCACAGAGGCCCCTGCGATTTGATGCCCACTGTGGACTGCTCCACACACATGCAGATTTTAGCACACAATCTCAGGGGTACGTGGACCTGGGGTGTAACCCATAGATCTCAGGTTAAGAGAAACCAGGTCCAGGGTTTGAAGGACTCTTCGGGGATGAGGAGAGCAGGAGAGAGTGTGTGGGGGAGGTAATGGAAGTCACCAAATCCTGACAGTTTGCAGACGGGTCACTTGGGTGGAAAACCAGGAGGAGTGGGAGGCTCACGGAGCCTCTGCGGTCCCCGCTGCGGGGGACTGGTCAGTGGGCCCTGCGGAGCCCTGACCCCAGGCGGGGTTGAGGCAGGGCGACTCCTTGATGAAAGATGAAAACCAAGGACCCAGGACAGGGTAGAGAATTGGAATGAAAAGAGAGAACGCCTTCAAAGAGGCATGGAGTTGTTCACAGGCAGTAAATACGCTGGTGTGAACACAACCCCGCTCATTAGGCCAAAACAAGTGCCCCAGGAACTTGGAAGGGCATCGGGAGTCACGGCAGAGCCCAGCTCTGGTCCCTGAGGACAAGAGATTGAGTAAAACAAATGGCTCACAGTCTGGCTTTTCCAGATCCTCCTGATCATGCCGAGGTCTGAACAGCTTCCCGGCTGTGCTCAGATGTTTAAATTAAGGATCGTGTGCAGGTAATTTAGAGGCATATGGTTTCATAAGTTTCTTTTGAGCTCTGATCAGCAGAGTCAGACTCTCTCAAACGCTTCCTACTCCCATGAGCACAACAGAGCTGATCTGTACGGCACACACAGGTACAAGTCAAGCCCTAAATATCACAAATAAATGCTCCTTTAAATAACTTTAAAACTGCACTTAAATTTGTCTATATATTTGAACAATATGGGACGTGCCTAGAAAAAGAGGACATTTCAGTTATGAATACAACAGTATATCCAGTTAAATGAACTATCTCCTGCATTTAAAAAAATCCAATCAGTAACTTTTTTTAAATCTGCAGAAAAATGTTTAAATTGCAAGCAAGACAATACTAAAGAGAAATGAGCAATGAACTTTCAGAAATTTTTTTAAAGAAACACAATTTAGAGTAAAAAAAAAAGAAAAAAAATGAGAGCACGAACAAAAACAAAACAGTTCCATGAACCAAACACAGGTTTGGGGAACTGAAAGTCGAACCCCTCACAGATGGCAGAGTGGAGGACGGGGACACCGGGGAAACACAGGCTCAAGTGAGAGCGCACCCTAGGGACAGACTGCAGGCGGACTGGAGGGGGAAGGCGTCTGACAAACCCAAGGAGGATTTACCAAGAGGCTCTGACAGGGGAGCGAGACCCTGCCTTGAATGAAAGCTGCCCGGTTCAGAAATGACAAGTCCCACTGCCAGCGGCCCATCCCTGGCCCAGCTGGGCCTTAACCCGCCCAAAGCGGGGCAAGGAGGCGGCGGCAGCAGCTGGATCTCAGCTGCCTGGCGCACAACCCCACCATCTCTTCCGGGGAAAGGCCAGAGCTGCAGGGACCAGGGACCCAGGGGTTCAGGAGGCACGAGGCCCCCAGCTGTAAGGCGACAGCGGGGCAGAGCGTCTGGTCATGCCCTGTGTCTCCGCAGGCAGCAGGCTGTTTCTGAAGCGTGCCGCTTCACGCCAGCGTCCTGCCTTCTACCGAGAGCCCCACCTTGGAGGTGGCGCCGAACAGAGGAACCTAACTGGCCCCCCCAGACGTGGGAGCGGGGCCCACCCTCTGACTGGGTTACGAGCAAGGCCCAGGGCAGCAGGCCTCTGCCGGATAAAAGTGCGCCCAGCCAGTGACAACCAGCCTTTCCAGACGAGTCCGCTGGGCTTGCCACCAGCTCTCATCCAGAGAGAGCTGCACGCCTCACGTTTTCCTTGATGCCTGATGCAGTAAGCAATCTCACGAGAAAGGCATCTACCGTTCGGCCTCCTTCGGGTTCCCAGACTGGCTGACAAACCAGCAAAGTCCAGGAGCCCCACCCTCCCGGACACGGCAGCATGAGCCCACAGGGCCCTGAGGACCGGCCTTCACCTGCAGGCTCACACGCGGGCCCCGCAGCCGTGAAGGCTCGGGGAGCCCCCGCCCCCACTGCTCTGGGTGCCGCGACACCCCCTCTGCTGAGAGGCCTCCCTGCAGTCTGCGTGGCGGGCGTGGAGTTAGAGACACACACGAACACACGGACAGCGCTCGAGGTGGAGGTGGGAAGCGGGGTGCGTACGCACGTGTGGTCGGGTGAGGGCGGCATGCGGTGGGGGGGCCTGGCGAGGGGGGCGCGTCGCAGAGGGGGTCCTCCGGTCGGATCCAGTAGGCCTGGCTGCCCCGGTTACCTTTCCTTCCTGCGCAGCTGCCGGTGCCGGGGAGGCTGTGGTCGCAGCCCTCGCCCTGCAGGCGCTCCCGCTGCAGCAGCTTGTCGGCCCGTTGGATGATGCACTCCAGGCTCTTGTCCACGTTCAGCCACACCTTCTCCTGGCGGACCCAAGGGGCGCGGGGTCAGCTCTCCCAGCAGGAGACACAGGGCAGAAAGCAGAGCCCGCCCCCGGGCACCATGCCCACTGAGACCCCGCAAGACGCAGAGAGGGCGAGACAATTTGGAATCCCCCATTAAATCTGCATCTGCTTTTCCAAAGACAAGTCGATGTCCCGTGGGCGTCAGTTTCAAAGTTTGGGGGACGTCTGCTAGTCGCTGTCCCGGAGGCCACTGTGGGCACAAGGGCCACGGGAGCACCCTCGTCCCCTCCTCCCTCCCCGCAGACCTCGTACAAACACCGCAGGGGACTGAGGTCTTCTGCATGGAGGCGGTGGGTCGCTCAGCATGGGGGACGGGGGCGGGGGGTCCCTGCAGAAACCCAGGCAGCACTCAGGACGCCAGGGCAGGCCTGGGGGAGCGCGCTGCTGCCGCCGGTAATCCGGTGCCCCCAGGACGACACCGCCGAAGAACAGTCCCAGCAAATGACAAACACGAGTCCGTGATGTGTCACTCCCTCAAGGGGCAGACCCTGCTCTCAGAGCCCACCCAGCGGAAGCAACATCGTGACGGGATGTCAGGGCAGCGTCTCCCAAATCCTCATCAAGCTGCCCAGCACCTCAGCTCCCACATCTCCAGAAAGACGTGGCCCCGGCAGGGCTGACGGCCAGCGGAGGCCGAGGGGGCAGGGCCCGGGCTGGGCCCGACACGCGCGAGGGAGCGAGGCCTCGCATTTTCCAGGCCGGCTCAGCGGCAGGGTGACGGGCGGGGGCGGCAGACTCACCCACTCCTCCTCGTGCCAGTCCACCTGCAGGGAAGACCGGCTGTTCCTGCCCGACCACCTGGCCATGAGGGTGTCCTGGTCGTTCCTCAGCATCACCTGCTCCTCCTCAGTGGAGGTGGGCGAGGCCTTGGAGGCGATGTAGTCGGGCCGGGCCGCGTTCAGCCCGTGGATGGAGGTGGCCAGCAGCTTGCAGTCGCACACGGTGACCAGCTGCCGGGTCTGCAGGGACACACGCACACCTGGCCGCTAAGCACCCAGGTGGGGCTGCGGGGCCCGGCCTCTCTGAGCGCCCAGCCCACCCCCTCCTCCCTCCCGCATGGTGCCCACACCCCAAGAGCTGCAGCCCTCGGGACGGCCGAGGCTAAAGGCTGCCTGCCGCACGACAGGCCCGGCTGAATCTCGGCAAGAACTTCCCACAGAAGCCCGGAGAACGCAACGAAGACGACAGGGAGGCCAAGACGCCTCTGACATTCTTGGATCCCGGCCAGCCTCTGAGCCTGACATGGCTGGAGGAGGGGCCCGGGGTGAGCCCAGTGCCAGCCTTCACTGGCTTCCCGGGCTGTCCCTCCATCCCAGGGCACAGGCCTCACTTCAGTTTAACCGCTGAAGTCTTATGCTTCACATCTAATACCTGAAGCCCCGGGCAGCGGGATTCCTGGCATAGCACTTGCGGTTCTGGGGAATTCCGCACGCCAACAGCAGCTCTGTGGCTCAGAATTTGACGTCTGACAACGTCACCTTTATTTTATGAGTGGATTTAATCCCCGGCTCTCAGTCTTTTTACTGGGCAAACACATGGGAAGGATATAAGACATTCGGACGGGGAAAAGCAGCTCATCCCAGTGAAGCAGGTGTGTGTGGGGAAGTGTGACCAGAATCTGTGTGTGCACGTGTGTGTGCTTGTGGGCACGTGTGTGTTTGGCGGAGGCACGTACGTTGAGAGAGACACTGAGTCATGTGAAAAAGCATCATCCATCAATTTTTAATCAGGATCAGATGACAGTTAATTAGAAGCTGGTTTGTGGACTATATATAAGCCAGTGAAATTATACTGTTCTTATATTATGTGTGTATAATAATTCAGTTTCTTTTTTCGAACTGTGAGTACAACAGAAATGTGGCCCAAAATGTGCTGGGTAGGCAGTCACTAAGGAAGCAGAGGAACTGTCCCAGCTTCAACAAGACCCCCGTGCACGTGTAGGGGCTCCCTGGAAAGCCAAGTGCATGAAGCCACAGCTGAGGCTCCTGAGCTCCGGGCTCTATTGCTGGTCTGCCCCCATCCAGCTCTGTGACCATGGGCCAGTCACCAAGCCCCGCCCCAGGCCTTTGTGGGAATAGGATCTGAAGTCAGACCTTCAAGGTCATCCCAGTGTCACCATTTGTGTGGACAGCTCTAGGCACACATGAGGTGTCCAGGGGTATTCAGAAACCCAAGGGACCCCCACCCACCTGCAGCAGGGTAGCCTTTCCTACCTTGTCTGCTAAGATGGCGAGTGTTCTTTCGAGGCCAGTGGCAGACCTGTCCTTGGCCGCCCTCGAGAGCCTCTCTGCGTAGTAACTCACTTGGGTTTTCAGGGTGTTGATCTGGGCAATGATCTCCTTGGCTCTGACAATGTCCTGTGGTATGTAGATGATGGACTGGCAGCTGGACGACGTACTAAAAAGGATGAGAACAGCTTCTAAGGGGTTCTCTCGAATCGGTGGGGATAGTAGCACCTCCCCACCCCTGCCCACAACCAACACGAGGTGAAGCCTCCTGTTACTCGGGGCTGTTTCCTAGGCTAGTCTAGTTGTTGGTGGACAAGAGGAAATCTCAGCAGATCCATTCTGTCTGTACAGTAGAGGCTTATGTTAAAATACAGTTAAGCCTTTTATCCATGTTTGCATGTATCTGTATTCTTACTGTGTTTCTACCTGTGTGTACAGATGTTGAACCCAGTAGTTGCCTGGATGCTCATAACCTTTCACCTAAGAACCTCTTCTGTCGGTTTTTAAGCAGTACCTGAGTGGAGACCTGCTGACACCAGAGTGGCTCACACCGCAGTGAAGGGAGACTACAGTAGGGGCTGGACTTTGCCAAAAGAAACCTGTCTTTTCATTTGGCCAATCAGGACTTCAAACTTTCTGCGCACAGACCCACACCCTCCCTCGTGTGTCTACCCCAGCAAGTCCCCAGAACACTGGGCTTCCATCCTCTCTCCCCTGCTCCGGGATTCCCCTGCTCAATGTTCCATCACATGAAGGGGGGCATGGAGAACATGCCGAACTGGAGGCCAGGCCTGGACGCCTCACTGGCTTTGAAAACCAGTCCTTCCCTCGTCCCCCACTCCCTGCCACCGAGCGGCATGTGCATCTCGGGATCTGATGTCAAAGCTACTGCCCGGCACAAGCACCAGCCTCTGGGGATCCAACTCCACGCCCCTGGCTTCGTGGGACCTTCTAGATGGGGATGGTAAATTGCATGTCTCTTAGCTAAGATCCCCAATCAACCCAATATTATAAGTTTATTTTTCAGACCACCTGAGGGAAACAGGGAGACGTATAAGGCAGCCATGCTTCATGTAAGGAGGGGCCCTGACTGGTCCCCTCGAAGAGCTGCCCTTTGAGTTCAGGGGAAGAGGGAGGACCACACCCCCCACTGCTGCCCCTGGAGGTGAGGGTCACACGGTAGGACTGAGCCCTTTCCCTGCTGGGCTCTTTCCAGGGTAACCCGAAGCTGGGTCACCAACAAACCGCCCTGCCCATTCCCCTGACGGACTATGGGGTAAACATGCAAAAACAAAAACCGAAGCACCCCAGAAAAAAACAACACCCCAAGCCCAGACACCACAGTGAAAAACGATGCAGCTGCCAGAAGCCCATGCAGCAGGCTGCGGTCAAGCCTGCACAGCACGAGGTGCGCACGCTGCTTTCCAATCTGCAATCACTGCCAAATGAATAGCTGCCATCCAGGACAACTGAGTCTCAGGAACACGATGCGAAACAGGGTGTTTAAATTTATTCTTCCCAGGAGCCAGTATTTAGAGAACACACGGAACGGGTGCTGCACGCACACGTACACGTGTGTATGGAGACGGGTGTGTTCACTTCAGCAGATACAAAGCCTCCGACAAGCGGGACAGAAAGCATCACCCCGCTCGCTGTGTGCTCCCACAGAACCTGTTAGTAACAAGGGAAGGACGTGGCGGGAGCAAGAAAGGATGCACTTCAAAGAGCTGCTGTTCACGGATGACCGTGAACACACGAGCGTGGGAGCCCAACCACAGGCCTAAACGGGGGGGGCAGCCGCAGAGCCTCAGCCACGGGGGAGGGTGTCCTCAGCGTGCAGCACCTCCAGCAGCGTCCGCCCTGCCACGGCCCCTGAGCTGCTCCAGCTCTACGACGGCAGCAGTTCTGAGGGCTACGGGTGCCTCACAAGCCCCAGGGCTGAGCCCCTGTTCTGGGCCAGGGCAAGCGCCCCGGGCGGGTCTGGGGAGGCCTGGAACGGCAGTGGGGACCCCAGGCAGCAGGCATGGTGGCTTCTGGCTGCCATCTCACTGTTGGTAGAAAAAGTCACTTGGTTGTATTAATTGTTGGTTTGCCCTCCAGGGATAAAACTGGCCCTAGTAATAAGGTTTTACAAATCTCCATTAACTATTAAATACCATAAAAATGTAAGCTGGCTTCATTCCTACAAGACGTGAAGGGAAACTGAAAACTGAAAAGCCACAGGTTCTTGTAAAAGAAGCCAGGAAGGGACTCCCAGACGCGCCAGTGGGTTGACTTGAAATCCCAGCACCTGGGGACCTGCCCGGCCTGGGCTCCTCATATCCTGGAGGAACAAAACTGGGTCTTCACTTCGAGCGAGCACAGCAATGAACCGCTACCAGACTGGGAGGTTTTGACACAGCAGACTGGAGATGGGCTATTCATTATCACAGAACATTGCAGTTGGAAGGAGAATTCTGTCTATGAGGCTAAACTAGGAGCCCACGGGGGCACGGAGGGGGAAGCACCTCAGAGGAGGGGACAGTCTCTCCGCACGAGAGCAAGACCCAAACACACACTCTCCACAGACAGAAAACTCACCAACACTCCTCAAAACTGCTAAAGAAAAGAACCAAAACGAAATATTAGCAGCTTGTTAGCAAACGGCAAATGCAAAACAAAAATTAAAAAAACAAGTTCTCTTTCGTCAAAATTCTGGAGATCATTTGTCGAGGCCCCGACTACAGGGACGATTAAACTCAAGAGCCCAGCATGCTCACTGGTGAGAGCAACGTCTGTGCATGTGCTCGAGCCCCAGGGAGACGTCCCATGCAGGCGAGTAACACCTGCGCCGAAAGGAGAGCTCCCCTGGTGCAAACTATTCCTGCAGGTGGTTTTACGACATCAGTAGGACATTAAATAAAAATGTATATAATATATTAGAAAAATGCTGTAGAAGCACTTAGGGAATAAGAGGTACTGAAGTTAACATGCCAAACACTTAGGTATCAACACCCCAACCTTCCTGGGACAGGGACAGCCCTCTTGAGCGGCTTTCTCCTCCGGGGCCTCCACGCCAGCCTCAGGTCACACACTCGCACCTCCACGCGGCCACATGCGATGCTGCGACAGACACGCAGCTGGCTGTGCAGAGCATGGTGGCACAGGAAGCTCGCCTTTGTCCTAATTCCCAGGGAAGCACTGCGTCAGTGAATCCTCGGGGGGATCTGGTGGCCTGGCTTGTCTGCCCAGGGAGGAGCCCTTGGTGGGGACGAATCAAGGTCGAGGAGGCTGCCAGTGGCCTCCCAGAGATGCCGCCCAGCCCTGCACTCAGCTCTGACCCGACTCCCCAGCTGCTCTCCGCCAGCCTGCTGGCCCCTTGGCCCCTGACCTTTCTTCCCAACCCGTGCAGTCCAAGGTCACCTTGCTCAAGCCCTGTCCTGACTCCCGCCCTGGGGCCTGAGGCTCTGGCCGGTGCTAAGCCTCCTTCGACTGCCCCACGGGTCCTCCTGAGGCTGGCGGGCCTTGGCCTCACCGTCCTCAAAGCACTGGGCTCCGGCCCCTCGAGCCCACGTTCCACGCAGACTGCCCCGTCGTGGCCCCAGCTTGTTCCTTCTCTGCAGCCCCACCTTCTTCTCCGGGCCTCGCCGCCCCGTCTCCTCCAGAACCTCGCTCCATCGGTGTCCTCTCCCGTCTCCCTCCACTTGCCTTCATCTCTCCTATCAGCCAGAGCACGGGCTCATCTCGGTCACCTTCTGCGCGCCTGAGGCCTTCACGCTGCTCTTCCACCTCACGGCCCGAGGAGCCCAGGCCTCGGCCACACGCATGGCATCCACTTCCTACACCCGCACCCCCTGGTCAAGGTAAGCCTGGCGCGTGACGCTCGGGAAGATCACCCACGCCTCGCGGCGTCCAGCTCAACAGCTCGGTTTAGCGCTCTCTCCCGCCCCCTCTGATCCACAGCCCACCCTGCACCCTCCGCTCTCCGATTTCCAGCAGGCTCCGAGCGCTGGTGCTGACTTTGCCCCAGGGCCAGGCCCAGACCCGTCAGCTCTGGTCACCTGCACGCAGCCTGCGCCTGCCCGGCCCCTCCCCTCGGCTCCTGCCCCCAAGGCCCCGCCCCTCACCGTGAGCTCCGCAAGGCCCGCCCCACCCCGCCCACCTCCCAAGTTCCTGCTCAGCGCGGTCAACTCCGTGCAGCCCCTTGAGCCTTTCTGACACTGACGACCTCTCCCGGGCTTCACGCTTTGTGACCTTCAACCTACCGACCAGGGCCTGTAAAGGGCAGCCGAGCCCCAGCGTCCAGGAGGGCCGCCGCCTGGGGCGCTGCTCTCCAGGTGCATTTCCATCCGCTGTCATTTTACAGGGACAGGACCACGGCTCGGGTGCCTCGTCACCCACCCAGCTCAGTCACACACACACAGAGCAACACAGGGCCCGTAAGGCAGCTCCTCCCGCCCCGCAAAAGCAGATCGGATGCTGGATGTTTTCTGTGGTCCCGTTTTGACTTTCTTTTTTTTTTTTTTTAACCTAGGAAGCGTCAGACGGCAGTACAAGGACAACAAACACCCTCCAAGAACTTACTGTTTCTTGGTCTCTTCAAATTTGTGCAGCTTTTTGCGGAGACCTCCTGACTTAAAGCCTTGGCAGTGTGCTGCTGGCGCTCCGATGGTGACAATGTCGTAGTTCTGATCTGAATGACAGAAAGCTCTCCTCCATTACTCTGGGCTCAGGCCTGTGGACGAGCCAGCTACAGGGATACGTGCACAACTCTGGGATCCCCCGCCAGCCCACTTCCAAGCAGCCTGTGGTTCCCTCAGTCGCACAGCCCGGGCTGCCCGAGGGCCTCTGGAGCCAAGCACCATCATCTCGGCTACGAGGGTCCTGTCTCAGGGGAGAGTCACACAGGGCAGAGGGCAACTACCCAGCGACTCAGCTCGCATCCCTCCTTCAGAAGGATGACCTGTGGGCAATTCTGCCGCAGCAACACAAAGGGAATCTGGAGGGGGGACAAACGAGGGGGAGGGGTCTGAGCTCTCCACAGAGGCCTTCCGGAGGCCCTTGGGCTGTGCCTTTGCCGAGCGCCCAGCAGCAGCACACACAGGGCAGGCTGGGGCAGATGTGGGGCAGCTCAGGGAGAAAAGAAGTGAGATGTGATCGAGCGAGACGGTTACCTGATCCTCCATCGTCCTGAACTCTCATCCTCTGTATGTGTAAGTTTGTGGGAACAAATTCTAACTTTTTATCTGCTTTCAAACTGCTTGCCTTGAACGAGGGACCTGAGGAATGGAATGTGAGAAAATAAAGATGGTCAGCCCGTATCCCCCATTCATGAACGGTGGGTGGAGAAGGGACAGTTTGAGGGTGCTGCTGCGGGTATGCAGGTGTGTGTCAGCAGTGGCCTCAGAAACTCTGAGCTGCCCGTGAGCACACTTCCTTCCCAGACGATGGGGGTGAAAGGTTGAGGGAGAGCAGCTCCCGGCCAGGAGACTGGTTCAGGGTCCTAGGTGGTGAAAGGGGCCTGGTGGATCCACCCTCGGAGGCTCAGGAGCGACGCTGGGCCTTCCCATCGGCAGCTCTCAACCGACAGGTCTGACACAGGGACAGGATTCTGTGCAGCACGATGTCAGCACCACTATAAAAAGCAAGTGGGCCCGTGCCAGGAAGTGCCTGTTCCAACTGTAGAGCCTGCCGGCATCCAAGATCTAAACAACTGGTGTGACGGGAGCAACACTTCTCAATTCTGAAAAGTGATGAGAAGGTCTGCTCATCGCCCCAGGTCTATCAGATGAGCAAACGCTACACAGCCTCGATTCTGGCCTCCGGAAAACACGCTAACATGTCCCCTTGCACATCCTGGGGTGGGGCTCAGGAGTTTGGACCATGTTTTCTACCAAATATTCACAATCTTATTTCTATAATTAGAATACTAAACTAATTAAGTAAAGAACTACTTGCCTAGAAAAAGAGACTATAAATTACACTAACAATCAGGAGAAATAAACATTCCACCTAGTGAGAAAAGACAAATTTATGTTGCCAGTATGCAAAACGCAGACCAGCCACTGTCCGCTTTGCACTTTGCCACGGGAGATGGTTCTCTAGCTACTGACGGGGTAGCCCATGGACCCCCGGCACTGGCATCCTGGGAGCCTGTTATAAATGCAGAATCCCAGACCTGCTGTTCACGAGACTCTCTGGAGACTTAGAAGCACACTGACATCTCAGAAGCTCTGCTCTAGAAGAATCATGGTGGGGGCGTTTCAGACTTTCCCAGGTAACAAGCATCCAGCACGGGCAGGTCCCTAGGTCCCTTCAGGCAAACACTACCATTTGTCTTAGAAATACACTTAGATCTGTTCTTCAGATTCAAACCAAACCCAGGGCACCATCATCTTGTCATCACTCCTGTAAACCTGGATGCTTCTCAGCCAAGTTTAGGAACGGGTTCCTCTGTGCTGTCCCCACATTAAGGGGTTACGATTTTCTTTAAAAGCTGAAATTCTATTATAAAGAGGGGAAGGAGGGAAGAATCTGAAGATAGAGAATAAAGTAATAGAAAACCAAAAAAGTCCCTCCATTTGGAACCAAAAGGGAATGAGTTAAGCATAGTCTTCTAAACCTACCCTGAAAATGTTTTGAAAATCAAGTGGCATCTTTCAAGAAGAAAAGATGTGTCTATATTTCACTTTCACTTTTGAGTCTTAAAATGGAGAGCTCCATTCAGACAATTCATATGTAAATATAAGGACCGCTAAACAGTTAAACCGGGAAATCTAGAAAACCCTGCCTTGCTTTGTCTCAAGGCAAACGGCCTGCATCCTTTTGGCCATTTCACTGATGCTAGACCAAGATGAAGAAATAAAATGAACCAACAGCCTGTGACTTTGTCTTTCCTGAATTTCATCCTACAGCGGTTGTTTTGGCAGATGACACCATGGAAGGAACTTTCGATGCAATTCACACATTTGTCTTCTCAATTAAGATCTGAAAACTCCATATTTGAGAGAACTCACACCTACATGAGAATCTATTTTTAAAAATCCATTAGAGTGTCTGTCAGTGGGAATGACCCTGGGTTCCAGATTTCCAGCTGGGAAAATGAGAGCGGGTGAGCCATGGTGGGGTTGAGAGCGGGCACCCACCTTTGTACTGATGGAGGTCGGTCAGGTTCTCCTGGTACGTGAGGATGATGGTCTGGTACTGAGTGACGATCTGGCGCCGGAGGCTCTCCCAGCAAGGGGACAGTTCCCCCAGCTCCTCCAGTTCACACACTCTGCAAGAAGACACACGCATCAGGCCATGGCGCCGGCTCCCTCCCAGCAGAGGCTCAGGAGTCCTGACCAGCCAGGAGGACAGATGGATGTGGACGCGTCATGCCCAGGGAAGGCCCTGCGAGTCTGGAGGGGCAGCAGCAGGGCAGGACAGCAGACAGCTCCAAGAGCGGCTGTAAAAAAGGCAGACCACTGACCACGTGGAAACTGCACAGACAGGCTTTTCATAGGAACTCAGTCAAATGTTCAGGGAAAACTAAGTGAAGGAGTGAAGAGGGGAGTGGCTCCACCACAGCACCCTGGCGACCTTGCATGTGTCCAGAGGCCACAGGGGCGTGAAGGCTTGAACTGCAGCCTGAGTCTGACCCTCCCGGAGCACAGGAGGACTGGAGCCTGAGGGCAACTGCTACAGGCTCTCCCCACCCGTCCATCCCCCCAACGCGGGGCTGTCACCACCTCCTGGATTCTGGGAGGCAGGGCTTTCTGCCCTCACCAGAGCAGAGCTGCAGAATATAAAGCTGTCCCGCGAGCCGGGCTGCTCAGCAACGGGGGTCCCGTGGCTCCTGCTGCGGCCACCAGGCCCCTTATGTTTCACTTTCATCCTATTCGGGTCCGGGACAAGGACCCTGGGAAGATGACAGCTTTAGCTATCGTTCCCTTTACTACCTGTGTAAGTAATGAACTGTCTAGATCTAAAAGTGCATAGAGAAGAAGACGACGGAAAAAAAGAATTTGTTATATCCACAAAAATGAAAGCTGTTTAAGAACTGAAATATAAACTTCTTAGCTCAGCCGGAAGTAAGAGCTACATAATCAGAATAATGAACACAAAAAATGGATTCAAAAAAGAAGGATAACCATTTTAGGAAACTTAGGAAACTGGGGGGGAAGGTACAAAAGACCCAAAATCCTCTTCATAGGAAATCAGCAGTTAATCTCTGAAGTTGATTAATTAAGAGAGCACGCTATACATAAATCTAGAAATATAGCAGAAAACACTAAAACGGCTAAAAGTGGTTGTTTCATGGGAAGGAGATCAGAAAGTTGAGAATCCCAAGACTTATGCTTTTCGTTAAAAACCTTTTTGCGCTCTTTGGCGTTTTATACTATGCGCGTTTTCCTCTAAGGGGGGGAAAAAGCTAAGTTTATAGAAGTGTTTAGGAATCTACTAAATTTTCTAAAGTTAAAAAAAAATTTTAAAGCTGTGCCATTTTATCATTATTATTATTACTAATCAATAAGATTAATGTAAAAGAACCCTCGGTGCAGGCAAGGCTGGGTGGGACCAATGTCCCCGTGGGTTGCCGGCTGAGTGGCCCCACTGGCCTTGGGTCTGCAACCGAGCCTGTCTGCCTCAGCCGCTGCGAGCCCTTCTCTCTCCGTGTCTCTGCCCGTGTGTCACGTGGCTCCTCCTTGTGCTTCGGGTGTCAGCTTAGTGTCACCGTCTCTCAGAGGCCTGCCCCGGTCACCCTCCTCCTTCTCACGGCCCCTTTTAAGTTCTGCACACCAGTGACCCGTCTGGGCCCCGTGTGGCCCAAGTTCTGTTACTGACTGTCTCCCACGGTCCATCTCGCTCATCAAGACCCCCGCCTCCCCACCACAGTGAGCAGAACACTGGCCATGTGGTTGGTGTGAGAAACAACAAAACCCTCCAAACCGACACAATGAATGAATGAACTCTTCCGAGTTATAGTGCACCAAACAGTGGGAAATTATGCGTAACTAAAAATTTAGTGAAACTGAAGATATATAGAAAAGTAGATGGTAGCTATGTAAATATATTACAAATATGGAAAAGCTGAAAGGAAGTTTTAAAAAATTAACTCTATAAAATATACACAGGGCTTCCCTGGTGGCGCAGTGGTCAAGAATCCGCCTGCCAACACAGAGGACACGGGTTCAAGCCCTGGTCCGGGAAGATCCCACGTGCCGCGGAGCAACTAAGCCCGTGCGCCACGACTACTGAGCCCGCGAGCCACAACTACTGAGCCTGCACTCTAGAGCCCACGAGCCACAACTACGAAGCCCACGTGCCACAACTACTGAAGCCTGCACACCTAGAGCCCGTGCTCTGCAACAAGAGAAGCCACCGCAACGAGAAGCCTGCACACTGCAACGAAAAGAAGTCCCCCGCTCGCCGCAACTAGAGAAAGCCCGCGCACAGCAACAAAAACCCAACACAGCCAAAAATAAATAAATAAGTTCATCTAAAAAAATAAAAAATAAATAAAATATACACATATAGGGGGATAAAGCAGCTCATTGCATTATTCTTCCCCTTTTTCTCTAAGTTCAAATTTTTTTTCAAGATAGAAAAATTAAAAAATAGCTGTATTAAAACAGTAGGATCTGGCTGCACTGTTTTCCTTCATGCAGCTGCTGTGTTGCATCTACGATTAACACTGCTGGATGGCAAGGAGCAGAGATGACTCTTAGGTGGACGGGAGACGTACTCTGCAGTGCCCGGACCTCCTCGCAGGCTGCTCCCCGCCTCAGGACCAGTGAAGCAGGCCCCGGGCCGAGAGACACAGAGCATCAGTGTCCTGATGGGTCATCCTTAGCCCTCTGGAGCCCGGACCGTAGGAAACCGTGACCCAGGCAGCCGCAACCAGAGAGGGACCAGCTAGTCTAACTTTCTCAAGGCTGGAGGGGAGGCGAGGGGACCCGTGCTCAGCAGGGGCACAGCTGGCGTGTCGGGCACGCTGTCTCGTGACGTCCTCGCACAGAAACCCCGGGACACAGATGAGCAAACTGAGCCCAGGCCGCGCAGCAGGCAGGCGGCGGACGCCGGGCGTGCGGCCCATCTGAGGCCAGTGCTCACCCACCCCGTCCATGGGCCTTCCAGACGGGAGGGGCAGATGACAGGGGGCCTCACCTGGCCGCGTCCTCCTCCAGCAGGAGCTTCACAAACTGCCGGGGCACGTGCAGGGACAGCATGCTCTCTGCCATCTGCTCCAGGATCCGCAGGTGGTTGCCCTCGGTGGTCGGGAACCGGTACATGCGGCAGATGGCACCGCCGAACACTGAGGCGGGAGGGCGGCGGGCCGCGGTGAGCAGGCGCAGGCCGCCGCGGGGCCCCCTCCCCCCCGGCCTCCGGGTCTCCTTCCTGCTCATCTCCAGGGAGTTAAAACACTTAAAGCCACACCCACGGAGTGACCGAGCCCGAACGCCCCTGCCCTGTGACATGCGGTCTCATCATACCAGACCGTGTCACCAGCTCCAAGGTGCTAGGACTGGGGCGGGGAGGCTGCCGGTCACCGAGCCCGACGCCATCGAGACACAGCAAAAGGAAGCAGGAGCCTCCTCCCCGGAGGGTCACGAGGTCCCGACATGCTGCCACAAAGGCACGCTGATGTGCAGAGAGAGGTGGCGATGGGCATGCACAGCCGTGACAACCAGAGCGGGTGGGGAAGCAGGCCGCGGACCCGCGTGGACACTCACGAGTGGCAAGGGCACCGACAGAGGAAGCTGCTTACCCGATTTCAGTAAAGTGTCTTTTCGCAACGAAGCGTATTTGGATCGGATTCCCAAGGCCTCGGTCAAGCTCTCGTCAACAGGCAGAACCATCTAAAAACATGTACAGAAAAGCATGAGAAAACTGTGACTGACTCCAGAGCACATCACGTCATAAAAGAACCCTTGAAACTAACATCCACCATCAACTCTACGAGGAACGCACAGCCACAGACCAGTGAGGCCCCCTCCCGGGACTCTGGACATACTCCGCCCACACAGTCTTCTAGAAATGCACAACTTTCGACCGAGTCACTTCCCCTTGTCTTTGAGTGTTCTGACGTGTAGGATGAAAGAGCAGTGGTAGACAAGGCCCAGGAGTATTTCCACAGCTGACGTTCAGGTTCATTTGGGGTAAAATGAGAGATCTCTGTATTTTACAATGACTACCAGCGTTTGGGCTCTGAAATTAGAACTGTCGTTTGAGAGTGTCTGGGTGAGCGGCTGTGCATCAGAGAGGGTGACACGGTCGGTGGGGGGGCCGGGCACAGGTGTGAGACGGGGCCCAGGCGGCTGCGAGGCAGAGGAGCATCTGGGAGAGGAAGACCGTGACCAGCCCTCAGGGTGACCTGGGTCTCACTCCACACCCACGAGCCACCTCTGCCCTCCCGACTGACTGCAGCTCGCACTCTGGAGAGACGCCGGCGTGGCCTGGGGCTAGGGGCAGGGGACCGCTTCTCTCTACTTGGAGAAGTGCCTGGGGGGACTGGCGCGCCCGGCAGAGCCCGGCCTTCCCCTCCCCACAGCTCACTGGCAAAGTGCGTCGGGACAGTCCTCGACTCCTCACGGAGAGGAGCAAAGTGGTGTGCTCACCCTCCCGTTGACGGTGTCCAGAGACCGGGTCACGGGGGGCCGCTGGTCTGACTTCTCCTCCATCTGCCAGCCCATCACGGTGATGTTGCCCACACGGTCGCTCTCCGCAGACCTGCAAGCGGCAACGCGCTTCGGTAAACAGCGCCGTGACTGCGCTTCGTTTTCTGCTTCAACACAAAGCACAGCTTCCTGGATGGTCAAGGGCTCCTGGGGGTGCCAGGATGGGGTGAGCTGGTGGGTCAAGCAGCAGTTACCGTGTGCACAGGCTCCGGGGGAGGCAGGCGAGGAGATGGGGGCACAGAAGAGGGCTGTGTCTGAGAGGAGACGATACCCCAGAGATGGGTGGCGTGCCCGGTGAAGCGGGGGTCGGGGGTAGCCAATGCCCGCTCGGGAGGCTGGCGCCCATCAGCCCTGGGCTGACCCCGCCCCGGAGTGTGGTGCGGACACACCTTGCAATCGGGACTGGAGAGCACCTTCTTCTGGCACTAGACCCCTTTTCTACTCATTCCCACCCCACCCTCAAGCTCTGATTAGCCTCAAGGCCTAGGCCGGGACCCCAAGTAAGCTGAGGTCACCCAGGATTTCCCAAAGCCTCTGAATCCTTCATGGTATAGCTGACACCACTCTAGCCCTGGTCTGCTTTACTGCTAAGACCCCTCAGGGTGGCTGCTGGCTGCCTGGGCCCATCTGATTCATCCAGGGAAGCCCCAGTGAATCCTTGATTCATTCAGAGATACCCTGAAGCCTCTGGCTTTTTTATCTAAGCTGTGGGGCTTAGCCAGGTTCTAAATTTTTATGTGGTCACATGCATCCACTGACCATTTCCTCTGTGACTCACTCTCATGGTTCTCGTGCCTGGAAAAGTCCCTTCCCACGCTCTCTATTCGATGGTCATCTCTAGCTCCTTTTAAAAAGGATGATGGGGCTTCCCTGGTGGCACAGTGGTTAAGAATCCGCCTGCCAGTGCGGGGGACACAGGTTCGATCCCTGGTCCGGGAAGATCCCACATGCCGCGGAGCAACTGAGTCCGTGCGTTACAACTACGGAGCCTGCGTTCTAGAACCTGCAAGCCACAACTACTGAGTCCCCGTGCCACAGCTACTGAAGCCCGAGTGCCTAGAGCCCATGCTCCGCAACAAGAGAAGCCACCACAATGAGAAGCCCGCTTGCCGCAACCAGAGGAAAGCCCATGCGCAGCAACAAAGACCCAACGCAGCCAAAAACTAAAAAATAAAAAGTGCAGGCTCTAGAATCAGACAGCCTGGATTTGTACGTGGGCTCTGATAGTTCTTAGCTGGATAACACTGAGCAAGTTAATTAACCTCTCTGGACCTCAGGTTCCTAATATCTTCTCCTAGGGTTGTCGTATTAGGCGAGGTCATACAGGAGAACACACAGTAAGAGCTTAATAAATGACTATAAAATGTAAGGAGGATGCCCACGTCTTACATTTAACCCTACTCCAACTAGAATCAGCTCTGGCGTATGACGTACCTGGGTGTTCTTCTCTAACGGCCCCTCCCCCACGCGACCCTGATTTTTCTCCCCGAGACCCCCTCCTCGTCCTGAGTCAAGCTCTCCACATACACAGCAGGGTGAGCCCTGCCCAACGCCTTCAACTCCGTCATCTCCATATCTTCAAAATGTCGCACTACTAGCAGGGAATTCATCTTCTGTGTCAAAATCTTCTTTGCTATTTGGGACTATTTCCCCAATTTTTACATTATTTTGAAAAAAAAAAAAAAGAACACTGTGTCAGGGTGGGAACTGCCCCTAAAATGAATCTGGGAAGGACCAATACCTTGACCCCAACATAGTGGGGTCCCCACCCCGCGCCTCCCTCCCCACATTCCTTCCTTCCACAAATATTTATTGAGCAGCAGGCACTGTTCTAGGTCTTGGGATACGAGCAAAACCATGGAACATCCCTGTCCTCTGGGAGATCTTATTAGGGAGGGGACAGATAACAGCAAAGTATGTTTGGTATTATTAGATGTATACCTAGGTTTTCCTTTGGGTCTGCATACTTCCTATGAACACTGCACATTTCCATTCCGTGACAGGCCCTCCGACAGGCTTTTTTTCTCTCTCCTCAATGACAACCAAGTCCCCGCCCAGAAACTGGCCTCTAGGGACACGGTGCTCTCTCAGTACAGGAAGTAGGGCCTTTCCCCATCTGTCCCTGGACCTCATAATTCCAGATCCTTGCAAAGGGACAAAATTTAATACCAACCTTAGTGTTAAATACAACCTATGACGCCTGTCCTGGAGCAGATCTTTGACGACAAATGTTCCAGAGCCCAGCAAGTACATCTGAGGAAGAAGGGGAGACAGCATTAGTGCACCTGCTTTGCCTCTGCTCCAACTGCCAGGCCCTGGGGAGTCCAGCTGGCTGGTTCTCTCAACACATCTGACCTCATCTCAGTAGCCCAATGGGGAGGCTCATAAAGACGTTCCCAAAGACAAGTACGTTTGGACATTAATTTGTGAGCCAGAAGTGAAGTCAATCTCGTGTTCACCTCTCAAATGATTACATAACTTTACAAAAAGGGAAGAATATCCCGCAAACCACAACATGGTACTTAACTGTTCCCTGAGATCTATCCTTGACATCATACACGGAGAGCTTGATCTGTGTCATCTGATTGATGAGGGAGTCTTGAAAGAAGGCGATACTGCTTAGAAATATAGGATCGTTGGTTCCCTAGAATAGAACAACAACAAAAAAAGAATCAGAATACAGAGTTGGATTTTTTGAACTGGTTGCTTCTGAAATACACCAACATTCTCAGAAGGAGAAACTAACGTTCTTACCAACTTGGATCAACACAAATGCGAATGGGGCTTACATGGACGCATATAACCAAAGCACTGTTTTCCAAAAAGGACAAAGTTTTCTGGGCCCAGATACAACAAACAGACCACCACACAAACTGGGCCCACGGGCTCATTCTAAGGGTTCCTCCCTCAGCGGGAAGGATTTTCTAAAACTGAGTTGAACGTCCACACGTATTCTTAGTCTTACAACTCCAGATGAGTTATGTATTTGGACCTACCACTGTGGGTTATTCCTTTAAGATGTACAAAGGCAGATGGAAGAGGATATGAATGGCCAGAGCTGGTTATTTCCAGAATCCTGGGTTTGGAATAATTACGGTCCGGCTTTCTTAGGGCTATCCTTTTCTGAGGACTAGCTGCTAGTGTCTCAATCGTAGGTAGCTACTTCCTGGCAGCCCGGCCTTGCCCCGCAAAGCGCCATTACATCAGACTCTCTTCCTCAGGCGGTGGTTAGCAATCTCAGCCAAACAGTTAGCGGCTCCTGTCTGTACCTGCAGCTCCAGCTCCAGTGTCTCAGCACCTGCTGGACAGTGCCCACCCCAGGTGCCCTGCTGGGGCCACAGCCCCATCCAACCTGTCCCTCCATCCGCTGGTTCGGACCCTCTCACTCTCTGGCCAAGGAGGCTGCGGACCCGGGCACCTGCTTTGGTGCCTTCTTCTCATTTGTTCTCAACCACCCAGCATCGATGCACCCCCGCCAGTTCCACCTCCAGAGCCTCCCTCTCATGCCCCCTTCTTTCCACTCCTCTCTGCTGCCAGTCGGGCCCCACAGCACTGTCACTCCCCCAGCGACCTCCGACTCGGGGCCTCCCTGAAACACACCTGCGGACAAGGCTGCCCCGCCCGGCCAGACCCCCCTTTCCCCGCACTCCTGCTCTGCCTCTGCACACACTGGACAGGATCAAGTTACTCTCCAAACCCACACAACGAGCTGGATGGACGGGACCTCGTCCTCCGCATACCGTCCTCTTCTCTCTGCTCTAACAGAGACCACACTCTGCTCTGTCTGCATGAGCCACGTTCATTTCCGCCTCCTCACCCACAGGATGGTAGACTCCTTGAGGGCAGGGGCGGGGCCTCAAGGGTCTTTGCATCATCCACAGCACCCAGCACTAGGCTTCATACATAGGCAGTGCTCGACAAATGCCGAGAAAACAGGATTGTTGGCTTGAACTTGGAAATACATTTCTAAGAGAATGAAAAAGTGTCTTGTCTTCCAAAATGTGAAACTGGGAGAGAAGGGGAAATACAATTTGTTTGGTGGAGAGTGCCAGGGAGGAGATACTTCACACCTAGAGGCTCACGTCACCAACAAAATCCAACAGGAGCTCACACCAGCCACCTCCTACACTTAGTTTCATAACTTACATGATGTGCTCAATTATCTGAAGAAATTTTGTAAACTTCCCCAGGCGAACACGTATCATTTCGTTTAACGTAAAAAGTAAACACATAGCACACATCTCAAAAGAATATAAAAATAAAAACCAATAAAAATAAAGGTATAGCCTAGTAAGAGGGTTGGTTAAGGGTTAACACTCTCCAAACTCTGATTAATGAGCACGACTGTCCAAAAGTAGCAGCCAACTGGAGGTGACGAGGAAGAATCGGGTCTTACCTCTTAAAAGGCAATCAACCTTAGGGGACCCACTGTTCAAAAACAGCCTGTCAACAGACAATCAATAATAACTGTAAAGGATATGGCGAATAAAAATGCCACCCGCGTGAGTAAGTGAGATGAAAGATACCAATGCACTGAAAAGCCATGGCAGAACAGTGACGATCCACAGGAATGTAGCTGCAGCCACAGGTGCTCAGGCCACTGAACAGCCCTCCCACCGGGATCAGAAACACTGTCATGGAGCCGCCGGAGGCCAGGGGCCAGCAGCACCCACCTCAATGATCTCCGTCTGCGCGTGTTTCGTCCAGAACGCCTGGGGTGGGGTGGTCACGCTCACTGCTACGAAGCTATTTGGTTTTCGATCTAGCGACGGCGTGTGCAGCTCACTGCAAGCTACCGAATTAAAACAGTAGAAATAAAATAAATGCAATTAAAATTAAAACAGAAAATCTTTAAAATCAGGCTCTAGTTAGTCCTCTGTTCCAAATGCACCCAAAGAAAGAGAGGTAAATGCACTCAAAGGGATGAGATGATCACACTGTCAGTTGTCACAGGGAGGTGAGTTTTCAGATTACAAGCAATCCCTTCTCATTCCTCCCCGCCTTCCCCAGCCCCCAGGACAGCAACGCAGGCACTGCCAATGGAAGGCTCTCTACGTCCACGGAGTGGATGACATAGGAAGGGTCTGACCCATAAAGTCTGACCTTAATAACTAATTGGAGCTAGGCAGCCACAGAGTTGATGAAATCAAGACCCAGCTACACACACCCGCATCCAGGACTTCCGCAGCCGTAGCTTATGGTGTCCCCAGATCTGTGTGTGATGTATGTTGGGAGCAAACTAAAATTCTGTGGCAAAGTAAACAAAGCTTTTTTTTTTTTTTAAGGAAGTCATTGCTCATTCTCCTTATGAGACTTATATCAAATGTAAGATTACTAAACATGTCACTTTTCAGAACAAAAGGTGCCTGTAGAACTGTTTCAGTTAGAAAATGTACTCAGCATTTTGAAAGACTCAGATAACTATCACAGAAGGGGCCCGCAGGAAAAATGATCACACGTCTTTCAATCTGACAGGCTATATGTTGTAAAATGCATTATGAGAGGAAAAAAGGCCCACTGCCATTAGTCTATGATATGCCACTGATTGTAAGACACTTTCTGATTAAAGATATACTAAAAGATGAAAAAATACCCACCTTGTAACTGGTGAAACATATGGCAAATCACCCAACACTCATAAAAAGAATTGGCTTTTCTGGAGGGGCACTGAACACGCCCCACAGTGTTGCAAGCCTTTGGTTAATTCCCAGAGTTCGGAAACAATTGATTTTTTTAAAAAATTTTATAATTTTTATACAATTTCTAAAGGTTACTTTCCATTTACACTTATTACAAAATATTGGCTATATTTCCCGTGTTGTACTATACACCCTTGAGCCTATCTTACACCCAGTGGTTTGTACCTTCTACTCCCCCCACCCCTGTATTGCCCCTTCCAGCTCTCCCTACTGGTAACCACCAGTTTGTTCTCTATATCTGTAAGTCTACTTCTTTTTTGTTATATTCGCTAGTTTGTCGTATTTTTTTAGATCCCACATATAAGTGATATCATACAGTATTTGTCTTTCTCTGACTTATTTCACTTAGCATAATACCCTCCAAGTCCATCCATGTTGCCGCAAAAGACAAAATTTCATCCCTTTTTATGGTTGAGTAATATTCCATTGTATCTGTGTATATACCGCACCTTCTTTATCCATTCATCTGTCGATGGGCACTCAGGTTGTTTCAATATCTTGACAATTGAAACAATTGATTTTGACCATGTTTTCACTGCCTTTATGAAGGAGAGGATTTTTTAGAGGTCTTTATTCCTGCCCTCATCATTCTCATTGATTTTTAAAATGCTCACTAGTGATTTAAAATTCAGAAACTGATTTTTGCTTCTTCAAATTAATTTACTTCTGAAAATTAATCTCTTTGTATTATCTTCTCAAACGTCTTCATGGATTTGCATTACTTATTGGAATATAATAAAATACCATGACCTTGGGTTTTCAGTTCAATGAGTTTTGACAATCATATGCACCCATGTAACCCTCATCAAAACAAGATACCTTTTCCCATCAGACGAGAAAGTTCCCCCCATACTTCCCAGTCAATTCCCCTACCTCTGCAACCACTTTCTGATTTTTATCACTTTCGTCCATTCTTGAATTTCACATAAATGGAACATTTTTAAGATCCCTCTGTATTGTTTATATACCAATAATTCATTCTTCTTTTTAAAAATTGATGAATTATATTCCATTGTATGAATGTACCAACATTTACTTATCAGTCCCGCTGTTAATAGACATTCGGGTTGTTTCCAGTTTGGAACTATTATAAATAAAGGTGCTATAAACATTCTTACATCTTTTTGTGAACATGTTTTCTTTCCTTTGCCTAAGTACCTAGGAGTGGAATTTCTAGCTTACAGTAGAGGATACACTTAGTTTTGTAAGAAGCTGACAGTTTTCTAAAGTGGCTGTATCACTTTACAATCCCACCAGCAATTTACATGAGTTCCAGTTGCTCTGCATCCCACCAACAGTTGGTGGGGCTCGTCTTTATTTTAGTTGTTCTAATGGGCGTGTTTTAATGTGCACTTCTGTGATGACTCATGATGTTAAGCATCTTTTCACCATGTGTTTATTGTTCATTGTTATGACTTCTTTCGTCAACAGTCTGCTCAAGTCTTTTGCTCATTTTTAAATTGAGTTGATTTTTTTTTTTTTATCAACTTGTAAGCATTTTATTCTGGATCTGTCCTTTGTCAGGTATATGTGCTGTGAATATTTTTTTTCCCAGTCTGTGGTTTACTTATTCATTTGTTTAAAGATTTCTACAGTTTTTTTTTTTATTTTAGATTTTTAATTTTAGAGAACGGCAGGCAGAAAAATGTCCCTCCCCCTAAAAAGTATCCACGTTCTAATCCCGGGAACCTGTGAATATATGATAATAATAGGCAAAAGAAGACTTCATAGATGTGATTAAGGTCATGGAATCTTGACATGAAAAGATTATTCTGGATTATCTGGGTGGGCTTAGTCTAATCACATGAGCTCTTAAAAGTACAAGTGGAAGGTGGGAGGGTGAGTTAGAAAGATGTGACAATAAAAAAAAAGAGAGAGAGGAGAGATTCTAAGCATGAAAGGCACTCAACCTGCCACTGCTGGCTTCGAAGATGGAGGAAGGGGCCACAGCCACAGAATGTGAGTGGCCCTTATAAGTTGAGAACAGGCCTCAACCTGGTAGCTAGCAAAGAAATGGGGACCTCAGTCCTAAAACCACAAGTAACTCATTCTGCCAACAACTTGAATGAACAAGGAAACACATTCTCCCCTAGAGCCCCCAGAAAGGACCGCATCCATGCTGAAGCTTTCATTTTGGTGTTATAAGATTCTAAGCAGAGACCCAGCTGAGCCCTCTGGGTTTCTGACCTAAGGGAACTGTAAGATAATAAATTTGCGTTGTTTTAAGGTGCTATGTTATGGTCATTTGTTATGGCAGCAATAGCAAACTAAAACACAGAGTTAGTACTTTCTGCCAAGAAAGCTCTGCCTACCCTCAAGTTGTGCTTGTGAGTTATTTATTTTCTTCCAGAAGCCTTAAGGTTTTATCATTTTCTAAAAATTCTATTCTCTTTCTTCTACTATGTCTGCCTCAACAGAAATCAGGGATTTGACTGTTCCATTTGCTCTCCCTCCTTTAAGCTACCCCCACCGGTGACCCTGGTCCGGTCTCTCTCGGCCTGCCCTCTCATCGTGTGAGGTTAGAACATCCGAGTCTTTCAAGCGCGAGTGATGGCAGGTAGGTTCAGACACAGCAGGTGGCCCAAGGCTGGAAAGACTGATTATCAGCTTAAGGGCGGATGGGCCAACTGCCACCATCAGAACACACCTCCCCACGGGTGACATTCTCTCCTGGCCTCGTCCCCACCCAGCCTGTCTAAATCTCACGCAAGGTTTAATTCCTAGCTCAGTTCCACGGCTTCCACGAAGCTTTCTCTCTGCAGCCCACAGTCACGTCTCCTTCCGTTTATCACTTACATGTCACTCCTCTGGCATATTTCCATAGAAACCATTAATCTCTGATATGTGGGTCTTGTCTCTCCAACCAGAGCATCTGTAGTCCCAGCTGAATAAATGCTATTGACGTAAACCGGTAAAACATATTTCGAGTGCATATCGTCTGACTCAGCAATTCTATATCCAAGAGTTTATCCTAGGGAAATAATCAGCAAAATATATGAAAGATCCATGTACAAGTACGTTAACTGTGCTGGTGTGTTTATAATGGCAAATTGGAAAGACCTAGATGTCCAGCAACAGGAGACTGGTTGAAATGAATATGGCACAGCCATACACTAGATTCTATGTAGGCATCTAAAATGATGAGGTGGCAGATCCACGTTTATTAAAATGAAAAGATGCCAGTGATATTTCGCTACGTGAAAAAAAAAATCACGTTAAGAACACTAGGATGACATTTCTGTAAATAATTCCATCACCTCCACAACTAAAAATCATCAAAAATTTCTGTATAGTCCTGTGTGGGTGTATAAAAATATCTGGAAGGATATATACCAAAATGCCAACTGTGATTCTCTCTCTCTGATAGGGTTTACATTTTCTCTATTAAAGTTTTTAAATGAGTACTTTTTAATTTTAAACTTCTATTTTTAAGATAAAATATTTGACCATTCAATTATCTGACTCCTACTCATCTCTTTTTTTTAATTGTGGCAAAATTCATTTAACATAAAATTCACCCTCACTTTTTTAAGCTGTTTCTTCCTCCATCTGTCTCATTAATATGACTACATTACCGCCCTTGACTTGCCAGATTCAGAAATGTCCTGATTTCTAGATTTCTATTATAGCGGTGAAGATTTTTAACTTAATTACATCAACTCTCATTCTCTCTCTAAACTCAGTTTAGCTCAACTTTTTTGTTACATCCATGTTCTGCATTATTAAAGCTAAGCGAATGCTATTCATTATGGGATTTCTTTTACTTCTCTCCTGTGTTGGACTCTGTTTCCTGGATCTTCTTTTTTCTCAGTTTATTCCTTCTTTTCGGTGGAGCACATCCTCCACTAACTTCTAGAGAAAGGATGTGGGGAAAGTAAATTTATTTGAGACTCTGTATCCTGAAACAAATGTCTTTCTACCTTCTCACTGATCGATAATCTGGTTGAGCAGAGAACTGCAGGTTGGAGATATTTCCCCACTCATATTAACAATGTGGCCCCACTGTCTTCAAGCTTCCAATGTCCCCAAGAATCTCCAGGCCAGTTCCATCCCCTGGAGAGAACCAGTTGGTTTTTTCCTCTCTGGAAGTTTTTAGGATCTTCATTTTATTCCCAGTGCTCTGAAGTTTCAGTGTGACCTGCCTTGTTACGCGATCTGTGGTTCCGAGAGATGCTTGTATTATTTCTTGTTAATTTTCTCCCTTACCTTCTTTCCTATTTTCTCTTCTAAATGTTGAGCCTCCTGAATTTGCTAATTTTCCACTTCCCTCCCATTTTCTAGTTTGCTCTTAAATTTTTACTTTCTGGGATAATTCCTCAAATATCTTCCAACCTTTATTGAATTTTAAAATGCTCTGTTACATTTTAAATTTCTCAGACTGTACATGCTCTTCAGTTGTTGTTTTTCTTCATAGTTTCCTGGGTTTTTTTATGGATACACCATCTTCTCTTGAGGATACACATTATAATTTCTTTGACGTTTTCTTCTTTCTTCAATGTCTCTGTTTCTTCCACGTTCCATTTTTTTCTGTCTTTCATGTTGTGGGCCTTCCACAAAGGTCTAGTGATCTACACTTTCATTTTGTTTTAAATCACCTCTGAGGTATAATTTGTACGCAAAATGCACCCATTTTAAGTACAGCACTCAGTGAGTTTTGATCAGCATACACACCCATAGACCCACCACAAATGTCCAGACACAGAGCGTCTCCATCACCCCAAAGGGCTCCCTGTGCCTCTTTCCAGTCAGTCCTCACTCCCAGATAACCATTAAACTGTTTTCTCTCGCTACAGATTCATCCTTCCGAGTTTCACATAAATGGAATTACACAAAACACGGCCTCTTATTACGGCTTCTTTCACTTTGCACGGTGCTTTTGAGATGCACCCATGGCGTGTGTGTACCAGTGATTGGTCCTTTTCCCTGCTGAGCAGCTGTCTGTTGTATGCATGTAACATAGTTAATCTTCCTGCTGATGGACGTTGTTTCCAGTGCTGGATGTTACAGATAAAGCTGCAATCAACATGCATGCACCAATCTCTGCGAGCACAAATAAAAGTCCATTTGTTTCTAAGTATGTGGTATCAGGAGGCTGAGGTGTATGGTGGGCTCCGCGGGCTCCGTGACAGTGAATGGGGGGCCGGCCGGCCTACTGTGGCTGGGTTCCAGGCCAGCATCTCTGTGTCTCTTTGGGGGTGGTGGCGAGTGGGTGGTTTACCTTCTCCAGAGACAGCCTCCATCCTGGAGGAATAAGCCCAACAGAATTTAGGACGAGAGGAAGAAGGGTAGGGAGGGTGAGGTGGGTGCGTGCCACTCGGCAGACTTCCACGGACAAGGGGAGAGGGACACTAAAGAGTGTCGGGCCTTGGAGCAGAACCTTCTGCGATGAGCCACACTGCCCGACCCCGGAGCCAGTACAGCCCACGGCAGTGGTTGGCACAGTCTCTCATCTGATGCTCGTGAGAGGGACAGCATCAGGGGTCAGCTCCTCCGTGCGTGGAGCTGGGATCCGAGCGCTAGAGAGCTAAATGCAACCCCACAGGGCCTTATGGTCGCGGGCGGACAACGCTGGCCCTAAGCCCCGTTTCCTCACCCCTCCCTGCCCCTCCCAGGGGGTAGGACAGGGGAGGGGAGGCTGTCTTTGCGGCTCTGGGTGGGCTTACCTCCCACCCCTCCCCACTGCCGGCCGGCAGGGAGCACGTGCTGAGGAGACACGAGCCCTGCAGGCAGGCAGGCAGCCCCCCGAGGTTCCCTCCCACCCACAGGAGGTTCCCACCAGCCTCGGAGCTTCATGTCCTCAGAAGCACTTGAGCAGCAGCGGTGGCAGCAGCAAGATCTCTGAGACAGACTCCTGCCAGTCGTGGAGTGTTTGTTTTTGTTTTTAAGCAACGTCTATTTTAAGACAAGAAAGTTTAAAAGACACCTACCTAAGCTGAATTCTAAAATGGGCTCATCTGGATCCTGTATACTTCCTGGATAAAAAAGAAATGACAGAAAAAAAAAATCACCCTTAATAAACTTTTCCCTGCTTTCAGATTGGATGCAAGAAGCTCAACACACTGGTGGCAATCATTTCACAATATGTGTAAATTAAACCCTCAAGCTGTACATCTTAAACTTGCAGTGACACATGTCAACTACTTCTCAATAACACTGGGGAGAAAAACCCAGCGCTCTGCTTTCTTCTCCCTCACAAACTGTTATATGAGATGATTTCTTTGTTTTCTAAACATTTTATTTTGAGATTCCTAAGAAGCCTCTGACCCCGAGACCAAACCCCCTCCCACTTGGGTCTGTACACTCACAACACAAAGGGCTTTTATTATGGTCTGGGCACTTGCCAGACAGGCACTGTGGACATTCCCACGTTATCTATTGGCAAATGAGTCCTGGAGGTGCCCGCGCAAACTGGAAAACTGATGGCGGGCAGGTTCCAGTGGAAGAGGGCTGACTTCCCCCTATTCCAGTTCAAGCAGAGGGATGCCAGGCCTGGCCCTCCCAGCGCTGCCACAGTATGGGACCCGCGGGTAGGCCCAGTGAGGCTCACCTGCCAGAGAGAGGCCAAGCATGTCGGCTGCCACATCGATGGTAGAAGCCCGCTGCATCGCACGGGCCCTGGTGCCATGGCGAGGGCTGTGCTCTCTTGCTGTCATGATGTCATTGGTGACGATGTGCTTCCTGTTCCTGGGTCAGACCACGCCTGATTCCCCGGGAAGCGCTGTCACCAAGCCCTAGTCCCCTAAGGTGGCAGTAGTCCTGAGAAATAAAAACAAACACTGTTTTTTTAAAAAACAAACAACAACAACAAAAAAAAACAGGGACGGTGACGAAGAGACACTGTGCTCTCATGGAGAGACCACATTGACCTACATGGACAAGATGCAGCAAAGCCAGGGTCCTCTGGCAGTTGGGGAGCCAGGACGGAGAGTCCGATGAGCTATGCCCCATCTAGTCACTGGGGAGCCAGGACGGAGAGTCCGACGAGCTACGCCCCGTCTAGTCACCTCCTCTGTACTCACACACACACCAGCACGGTCTGTCCGTGGGATCCCGTAAAGAAATCATGTTCTCTTCAACAGAGACATGCCCCATTAAATGATGGCTTAGATCTAATCATAAACTATGGCCTTTGATATTTTCTTCTTTGCTTTATTATGTTTTTCCACTGGCAAGTCTCAGAGACTCTTCACAATCATAAATCAGCTCACTACCATCTCTGTTAGAAAGACAAGAGACGCAAGAAGAGGTCTGGCACCCACTGGCCAGGACAGTACAGCCAAACAGTGGAGACCAAAGGCATGTCTCCAACCTTGCTCTCTCCCTCCCAGGGGTACAGGAACTTCACGTGTGTCGGACTCAGGCTTTCTTTCCCACAAAACGCGACAATCTACGCCTCAGTGGATAGTGCTGTGCTGTGGATACGGAGGTCTCTGGGCAAAGGGCCGCTGCAGGCTGAGCCACACAGATGCTCCGGCCCAGCACAGAACTCACCTTCTGCTCTGAGAAGTGGGTTATCCAGCAAGGAGTGAGTTTCACATATTCTTCTAACCCTATATGCTACAATCCCTGCTGTCTCCGGAAGGAACCAACCTTTAGGAGTTAAGATAATTAGACTAATAACCCCTCTCAAAGGTCCCCATATATCCAGACGCCCCTGTCTTCTCAAAGTGCATCAATGCCTTTACAGCTGAAGGGCCTGTGTTCCCACTCTTGGGTTAATTCACCCAGCAACTAACTTACTGGACATGTTCGTTCTTGGACCAGTAGAGACACGTGGCATTTCTTCACAGAAGCACATCCAAATCCATCATCTAAAAATAGAAAATTATAAACTTAACAAGCTAGTCAAACATGAAGTTCTCGAGAATGCTTATTATAATGTACTGATATATGTTATAATTTTAATGCCTAGAAATGTGGGGAAGCCAAGAGCTACTACATGTTCCTTTGAGCTTCACACCCCAATCTAACCTTTTGGCTCAAAAACAAAGGTTTTGCACAAAGCCCAGAAGGATGAGAAGCAGAAAGTGCCCATTCCTCTCCCCCGCCCTGGGGTGATCCAGGGGAAGTGGGGACAGGCCTAAAGGGCCTGCTGGGCAGCTGGGATGTGATTCAGGGAAAGGAGGAGATAAAGAGCCCGAGGCCCAGGCTTCCTGCTCAGAAACGTCAGGCCCTGGGAGAACCTGGGTGCCTCTGAGGCTCTGCTTTTTGGTGTCTAAGATGAAGGTGCTTGTACCCACCTCACGGGGCTGCAGTGGGAAGCAAATGTGCAAGAACGGGAGCGGGCTCTGCAAACCCCACCTAGCTCCCAGCCCACCGCTGCTGCCTGGCCCCTGCGCGCCTTCCCGCGGATCCCAACACCCAGGCTCCGACTCGGTCCAGCACTGCTGGGGGCGGTAGGGCAGAACGCAGGGCCCAGAGCGAGAGCATCTGAAACTTCCAGAGTCCGTGGTGGAGACGACAGGAGGATCAGTGTGCACAGCCCTCAGACAAACCCGACACCCCCTGCAGGCTGTGTTCCTACCCCTCCCACTGGGGCACCCAGGGGCCTTGGGCCTGGGCACCTCAGCAGAGAGGGCAGTAGCCTGGCTGGGGAGGCCCCGAAGAAATCACCAAGGGCAAGACTCACCAGTTTGCTGACATCAAAAGGCATACAAGTCAAAAATATGCAATGACAGTGGAACAGACCGGGAAAGTACTTGCAGTACTAATATCTGTATTTTACAATAATGTTTACACAACTTGACAAAAAAAACAACTCACTAAAAATGTAAGTGGCAAAAGGTATGAATTCATAAAAGAGGGATACATGTAGGAAATACTTTGGAAAAGTGACCAAACTCAATCATTATGAGGAAAGCAATGCTAAATACACCTTTAGTTACCTAAAGGAGGCGTCTAAAAGAGGTTTGTTCGTTCTTCTAATGAGAATGTGCTTTGCTGGCAGACCTAGGGGAAACTCTGTAGGGCTCTCCTATACTGTTGATAACATTTTAGAGAGGTTCGAGCATTTCAGAAACCAATTTGGCATTATTTATCAAAATCTGTAAACAATAACAAAATTCTGGCCAGTGGTCCAGAGATGCTAACTGTAGCATTGCTTGTAATGACAAACACTGGAACCAATCTAAATGCCCAGCTACAGATAAGTGCATTCTGGAACAGCTATAAGAAACACTACCACATGGCTGTTAAAATGATCATAATAAAGGCAACACACATAAGAAGTCCTTCAACCTCATTAGTCATCAGGACAATGCTAATTGTAACCATGAGATACCTCTGCGTACCCACTAGAATAGCTAAAATGAAACAGACAGTACCACGTGCTAGCAAAGATGTGGACAGAATAAATGGGGCCCCGATACACTGCTAGTGGAGTGTAAGATGGTGCAGCCATGCTGGAAAACTGGCAGTACCTACCCACACTGAACGTGACCTGGTATGTAACTCGGAGTGCAATTGCCAACAGAAACGCACACTTAGGGTCACCAAAAAAAAAAAAGCTGCAAGAACACTTAGAGCTGGGAACTCCCTGGTGGAATTCCAGTGGTTAGGACTTGGTACTTTCACTGCCAGGGCCCGGATTCAATCTCTGGTTGGGGAACTAAGACCCTGCAAGCCACATGGTGTGACCAAATAAAAAAATAAATCTAAAAAACAAAAAAAAACCCAACGCTTAAAGCAGTAATATAATATTCAAAAACTAGAAACAATCCAAGTGTCCATCAACAGTAGAATGGACAAAACAACACAGATGACTCTTAGGGACAATATCAAGGGGGAAACCCAGACCCACAAGAGCACGTTCTAGGCAATTCCACCTCTATGAGGTTCAGGCACTGGCCAAACGAGTCTGTGCTGTCAGAAGTCAGGACAGTGGTGTCTCTGAGGGGCAGGACTGACTGGGGAGGGTGGGAGGAGGCTTGCGGGCTCTGGTGTGGGCTGTCTCCTCGTGTGGGTGCTGCTTCCATGAGTCACTTCACCGTGGGGAAATGCACTGAGCTGTATATGAAATGATCTTTATACCCAATAAAAAGGCTGATTCCTTTAACAACTGTAATAAAGACAACACAGCATGAAAACGTGTTTATGTCAGTTCTGCATCTTATGTGTCTTTAATGAAATGTTCTACCTGTTCTCTGGTTAAAGCCGTTTAAAAAGACGGGACAGAGCCAGCAGGAGACCACACCAAGACGATGGCCACGTTTGGGGGCGTGACCGCGGGGAAACGTTGTCTTTCTCAGCTTACTGCCATCCTCCCGCGTCACTGAAAGCTGCCACCACGCTGGCCAGAGGTAGAGGCGGCACCCGGAGCATGACCTTTCCCTGCGTGTCCCCGGCATCCCCTCGCCCCGTCTGGCTGCCCTGCTCAGCTTGTTAGTGAGCTGCTGTCGCCCCCCCTTCACTCGGGACAGTGGAGACATGCCACCTAACAGAGGACAACATCTGTACCCCGACATCCCGCCAGCCCAAGGGAGGTTCCGCACCCGCCTGCCCTTGCAGGGTCCCCACCAGCCCATCCCTTCCCCTGGAGACTCTGGGGACAGAAATGCTTGAAGTGGAACATCTACAGGCTAATTTTACACGTAACAGAATTCACAGATCAGAGAAGCTTTTAGTTCACAAGGACCTTAGAAGCCACCTCATGGTTATTTGGGGGCATCTAATTAGGATCTGGGACTTAAGTCATCAGGACCCAGAACACGAAGCTGACTTGCACAGCTGAACCAGACTTCCCTTTATTAGTCTCATTAATTGAAGGTAATTCGCCAAGGATTCAGATATTCCCAAGCTCCCTGGTTTTCCTCCTAGCCCCATTTGAAGACCAGAGCTCATTAGCAAGAAAAATGACTTAAAGAGGACAGAGAGGGTGTGGGAGTTGTTTAGGAGACTGGAATTTTTTTCTTCGGGGCAGGAGAGAAGCAGTAACTCATGAAACTAACTGCCTTGGCTCCTGACTCTGTGGGAGACGTGTGACCCCTTCCATCAAATCAGCAGCAAAGCCAATGACGTCCTGCTGCCCAGTGGGGGCAGGGAGATGTGGCTGAAGGAGCATCACCAAGGCCACGGAGAGGACGCTATGACTCACACGGCTTCGTGGGGTTCCTGAGGGTCACCAATGACTGTCGGAAGCTTCTAGAGGAACCGGTCTCAGGAAGGCCTGACCTCCTCCTCCACAGAACAAGGTGTCTCAGGTCCTGCAGGGGTCTGGAGGCCCCTCTGGCTCAGTAACCTCTGCTGAGCAGGAGTTGAGCGGGGAGGCCAGCTCCACTGGTATCTGTCAGAACACTGGGGTCTTCTCAAAATCATCTTAAAAAGGAGTTGCATGGATGAGCATGGAAATCCAGGCAGGGTGATTTCCTCAAGGTCAAGTGGAGGTAAAGGATGAGCTACTGGCATCAACCCAAAGCCAGAAGCCCCCGTACCACTGGCTCTCTCCCTGCCATCCCAGCCCTCCCCACCCTACCGCTGTCACTGCTGTGGGCAGCAAATGGGCCAAGGGCAACCCTTCCCAGTGCTCTGCTCTCCAAGAGGGAAGGTCAGACGAAAGCTGAGTCAGAGCAGCCCTTGAGGAGCAGGCTAGTTCACGAGTCAGAAAGAGGAAGCGCTTTCTCTCAAACCCCCCAATCCAGGACGGCCACGGTCACTGATGGATGAGGTGTCACACTGATCACTGGCACCGAAAATCACTGGTTATAACCTGAGAGAGACAGCTGCCCCTTCCTGCAGGAAGCCTCCCCTGCAGCCAACAGCCCTTCTGCAATGGAGCAGGACCCGGTGGGGCCCTGCTGGGTACAAGTCCTTTCCGTGTCCCCTGTTTCTTGTTTGTAGGAAATGGGCTTCATTCAGCCTCCTTGACCTTCCCGGAGCTCCAAAGGGCAGATTCAAACAGCTGCTCATCAGGGAAGGGAGGGAATGCAGAGACAAGGGAGAAGCAGTCAGGACACAACAGTGCAGCCTTGGGGCAGGGTCCTGATTCCCCCTCAAGGTATATATATAACAAAATATCTCTGAGTTCTTCTGCAGGAACTAAGACCCCACCCAGGTGGAGGATGGTAACTTCTGGCTGAGCACCAGATTCCTGGAGCACTGCCCTGTCACCTCACCACCAGCCAATCAGAAGAAAGTCTGCACAAGGTGGAAGATAAAGAAGACTCTGAGCCCCTCCCCAAATGATTCTTCTTTAAAAACTTTCATGGTCGAGCAGAATCTCTGGAGTTGGTTTCTGGACACAAGTCCCCCATCTCCACAGGTTGCCAGCCTCCTGAACAAAGCAGCCCTTCCGTTCCTGCCAGCACTTGGCTCTCGAGTATTGGCTTACGGACATCATGCAGCCAAACCAGAGTTTGCTAACCTTTCCTCACAGAGGCTTGCTAACCCACCAGGCGGTCTGCACCTCAGGACGATGCACTTCCTGTGTGGCAGCAGGAGAGCCAGCCAGCACCTGTGTCTCGACCTAAAGTCCTTGCTTCCTCCATACCCTCCTGGGTGCCTAGCTCAAGCCTAAACATAGATGAGGGGGCGAACAAGCACCTACCGAGTAACAAACCAACAAGGTCCATGGCAGGCCACACCTGCCACCAGGCTCACTGACGGACTGGTCCCTCCAGCGGCGTGCGACCACTGCAGAAGGATGTACAACCGCTTAGATGCGGACAGTGAAGTGGTCATGGGATCCCCTCTTCCCTGGACTCCCTGCTATGTGCAGGGGCCTGCTGGGCAATTCCACGGCCCCAGGGTAAGGTGGGGTCACTTAGTGGAAGGAAATTACGTCCCCAGACTGTGGGGCAGGCAGAGCCCCCACCCC